TGTTGCAATGGTGCGTACACCCATATTATCGGCATTGATGATGTTATTGCTGCTGCTGCTATTGCTATTGCCGCTGCTGCTCTTGCCGGACGAGGTAATGTCAATAATGTTGATTTGATTGCCCACTGCACAAGCAAGGACGGACGCTGTTCGTGGATGGAAGCGCATAGGGTTGGGTGCAAACCCAGACTTGGATTGTGTCTAAAGATTCAAATGAGGTTAGTCCATGGTGCCTGACTATGCTAAACGAACTTACCATTTTGAGTGATTTCTCACAGTTGGAGGTTTTCAAATTCCAGACCTTCAATTCACCCTCTGCATCCAGAGAACAGATGGTGTCAGGTCTATCTGGGGCAAAATCCACAGCTGTCACTTGAGCTCTACAATCCCATTTTGCCAACTGCTTGGGGTTGGTTGTGGCATGATCAATTTTGGAGTCGTCTTCCTTGTCCTCTTTAGCGACACCAGCTCCTGACGCCGCGAGAGCAGATCCCACATCCCAAATTCTCAGTGTTTTGTCATACGATGTCGTCGCCACCAAATTTCGGTTATCAGCACTCCATCGAGCACAGGTGATATTTCCAGTATGTCCATCCAGCGTATACAACGTCTTTTTGTCCTGCACACTCCAAATCATCACTTTACGGTCATGACCCGCACTGGCCAGCCATTGTCCATCCATCGAAAATGCAGCTGTAGACACCTTGTTGGTGTGACCAGACAGGTCGGCGTAGGGTTGCAATGCAGTGTTGACGCTCATATTAATGGCATGAGAAGAAGGTGCACCACCGTTGCTTCCACTATTGTTGCCATTGCCCATACCACTGTCCAAGTCGAGGCCTCCTCCCATGCTGGCTAGAAATCCGCCTCCAAATGGGTCCAAATCAGCGCCATCGCCTCCCATCAATAGATTCTGGTCGGGATTCTCGTCTCCTGCTGCAAACATTTCTCCAAAATCGCCACTATCGCCCATCATAAAACGCTCCAAATCAAATGAAAGAACATTGCTGTTGTTCATGGCATTGGTGTTGTTGCTGTTTTGAGCAGCTGCGTTGGCAGCAGCGGCGGCGGCGGCAGCAGCAGCAGCAGCATTGGCAGCAGCAGCCATGCCACCTGGATTGTTCATGTTATTGGCGGGGGATTGCATATCATTCATAGGCGGGTCCATATCTGGGTTCCATGACATGCGTTGCTGCTGTTGCTGGTGCAATTGCTGTTGTTGCTGTTGCGGAGTACCTGAAATGCTGTTGCGCGTCAATTGAGGAGAGTTCATTTGTTGCTGCTGTTGCTGTTCAAATTGGCTTCTCTGCTGAGCAGCGAGTCTTTGTTGCATGGCCATGACGGGTGATTCATTGGGATTGGGCTGTTGTTGTTGCTGCGCGTTCATGACATGTGGGCTCATCTTATGTTGTAATTGAGGGGATTGCTGCATTTGTTGCGGTGTAGTGGCAGGCGTATCATCGTTATTGTTGTTGGTGCGTTGTCTCTTTTGTGGTGGAGGATGAACGAATTGAGCCTGTTGTTGCGCTTGTTGCTGCTGTTGCATGGCATGGTGTACCTGACGGCGTTGATATAATGCAACTGCAATCTTCTTCTTGTCTCCACCTTCGGGAGATCCACTACCGGGTATAGCAGCAGGATTGGGGCTTCCCATGTTAGGGGGTGTTTGGGGTCCTCCATTCGCACCACCTTGACCTCCACCAGGCGGTAATGGTTGAGGCTGCTGTTGTGGTGTGGGTTGTTGAGAATGAGGTGGCCCTCCTGCTGGCAGTTGTTGAGGCCCTCCTCCTTGGCTCTGTTGTTGCTGCTGTTGCGCTTGCTGTGCCTGTTGTGCTTGTTGTTGTTGCATCATTCGACGTTGCTGTGCAATCACACGTTGTTGTTGAGCAACCATCATCTATGAGCTATAATGAATACTGCCATCCACAAAAAAAACGCCCTGCCCTGTCTACTTTACCTGTTGCTGATGTTGCTGTTGCTGTTGAGGTGTTAATCCAGCTGGCATTTGACCTTTATTCATCATTTGTTGAGCTAGCATCAGATTGACTATACAGTGGATATAGCCCATTCAGTAACATGTCCTATGCTGTCCTTTTTTTTTTTTTTTTTTTTTTTGATTTGACTTACCATCACCATTAAATGGAATACCACCATTCATTAGGTTAGGGCTTTGCATGTTGGGGTTCATGCCCATTTGACCTCCAGGACCTACCATGTGTGGCCTCGGTTGTCCATTCACTTTACAAATGTTGTAAGTATATATAAAAAAAAACAATAAACAAATAAATAGATGTCTTACTAGGAGGACCTACAGGACCCATACGCTGAGCAGGATCGACCTGAGGGCTTGCGCCCATGGGATGTTGCTGTTGTGGTGTATGAGGAGGCAATTGGGCCTGTTGCTGTTGTGGTGTTCCTTGTTGCTGCTGTTGCATTTGATGCTGCTGCTGAGGTGTACCTTGAGGCTGCTGCTGTTGCTGTTGCTGGACATGTTGTGGGGGCATGCCCTGCTGCTGTTGCTGCTGCTGGGCGTGTTGTTGTTGCTGTAAATGCTGTTGCTGTAACATGGCTTGCTGCTGCTGCTGCTGTTGCTGTAGCATGGTTTGCTGTTGCATTTGAAGTCTCGCTTGAGCTTGAGGGTTGTTTGCTAGCATGCTATTCAAACAAAATATCAATACGCAATCTTCCAAACTTTCACGGGCACATAACGTACGGGTTATTTCTCATCATGTTCAAATGCTGGTTCATGGTCATCTTTCTTATCTGGTTGTGCAAGATGATCTACACCAATAAAAAAAAAACATCAGTATTTCTCCCCTATTGAAGCTCTCTTTCTCTAAATGTCCACCTTTTCCTCGTGTGTCAATGAGCTCTGATCACGTCCTCCCAAACCAACTGAATTCATGGCAGCATTGACAATCGCGTTTTGTTGTTGCGCTCTGTGAGCAGCCGTCATCATGGGTTGCTGCTGTTGCATTGGCATTTGCTGGCCCACCATAGGCGAGGTCATCATGCCTTCAGGTCCCATAGTGGAAGGCTGGGGTTGTGGTTGAGGTTGAGGTGGTGGTTGCTGCTGCTGTGGATGAGGTCCTCCTCCTCCAGCCATCACTTCCACGCCGCGTTGCAATTGTTGAGGTGAAAATGAAGGGGATGCAGTATGTCTTCCCGGTATATGTTGCTGAGGCAAATTAGCTGGCATGCTCTGAGGCGTATTTACAATAGTGTTGTTGTTATTATTAGGAGGTGGTGGCATACCACCGTTATTTGGCAAGGAAGCCGTACTACTAGCAGGCGATGGTCTCACATCTCGCGACAGCTGCTGCTGTTGCTGTTGAGCCTGTTGTGAAGCGACGCTTTGCTGTTGCTGCAAATGAGGTGTTTGCTGTTGTTGCTGCTGTTGATCCTGCTGTTGCTGTTGTTGATGAGCAGACAGCTGAGGAGACTGAGCAACTCTCTGAGCCTCAGAGGCTCTACGCTGTACTTGCTGTTGCGCTTGTAACTGGGCTTGTTGTTGAGCCTGCTGCTGCTGCTGTTGATGTTGCGCCTGTTGTTGCGCTTGCTGTAAATTAAATGCTCTCTGCTGTTGTAATACTTCTTCTCTTTTCGTGCGGAGGAAGCTGCGATACTATGGAAATGACACTTGTAAATACACAAAGACACACGCTCATGCAAACCACTGATAGTTTACCTCATCCATCACATTGGCTTCTTTACTTGCTTCAGCTTCCTTTGATTTAGCAAAATAAATGTCCCAGAACACACTCCACCAATCAGCCAGAAAACCAGTTGAAGACTCAAAGGGAGGGGCTTGATCTGTTGGTACATTGGCCTCTGATGAAAATGCTCGAGCAGCTTGTACAAACTTCTTCTTTTTGCAGTAATCGTATATGTAGAGATGCAAGAGTTCCGTTGCCTTGGCCTCAGCTGGACGTCCATTAGGTCTACAAAGAAATCAAACGAGGTGTGTGTGTCAATAGAGATACTCCTTATTTAATATATAAATATAATCCCCAAACAAAGCAAAAGAAAACAACAGAGATACAATGAAATCGCCATCAAGAGCATAAGCAAATGTAACCATCTTTGCTGCCTCATTGCGTCGTTGCATTTTCGCCCTGCAATCTCCTCGTCGCATACAACAGCCCGTTCTTGTTGCATAGCACACCACAATATGATATTTACCCTTCCCAAGTGTTTCTCCTGTTTTGCGACTGAGCCATGATGTGAGTTTGTCAAGTAGAAAAAAGAAAAAAGAAAAAGAAAAGGTCAAGGGGGTTTTGCTCTTGAGTTGTTTTAGAAAAGGTGTTGTTCCGGTATGTATCGCCTTTTAGGGTGTGTTGTGTGGGTGGGTGTGGTGGGTGACTATAAGCTTATATTTCGTTCAAATGTTGCAACAAGCAGAACAGAAATAGTCTTTTTTTTCTTGGATATGTTTAACTTATTTTTTTCAGTGACAAAAAAAATAGAGAGAAAGGAATATCGAAAAAGAGAAAGAGAAAGAGAAAGATGGAGGGAGAGAAAAAAGAGAAGCTATTGATTTCCCTGAGTTTGGGACACTATTCAGTGCACAAAGTTTCCCATTTCAAAAAGGAGGAGCAGCAGCAGCGAGCCAAGACAGACCGCACCATAGTCGGATATTCATTATTCGCATCTACGTCACTCCATATCGCTTCTGATTGTCATGGATAGAATGCCAATTACAGATAGCAAACCAGAGAAAACGCTTGATCCGTACGCATGCCACTATGTAGACATCAGAATGCAGCCCCAGAGCCCAAAAAATCCACATCTTGCATATGATTTCTGGGCATGTAGGACACTTTTTCGATATGAGATGTCGCACGCTAAACCCATTTCAAGTTCCATCACAATTTGAAACCACAAGACACACATAGGAACTCGTTAGATCCATTAAGAAAAGTAGGCATTTAATAAAGAGAAGGAGGGAATGACAAGAGGGAAAGAAGGATATGGCACATTGTCAAGAAACAAGGCATGATCTACTGTCCAAAGCCAACATCATCAACTACACGTCGATGCTCAATTTGATGCTCAGATGTGAAATCCAAATGAACAAATGCACGCTCTACATTATCCAGTAGCTCCAAGGCATCTTGCAACGCCTCGCCCACATCATGAGCCTCTCGCAACGGACATTCAGGAGGCAACACAATGTCGACTTCCACGATACAGCGATCACCAGTGTAATACGCACGCACAGTTTCAATTGAAACAATCTTGGTAGAGAATCGATACGCCATGTAGGTCAATTGCTTGATATCATCCACACTGGCTGCTTGGCCTGTCAGTCTTCGAATATTTTCTGCAAATTGGAAAGTGAGTTTTAGATGCTGCGGGCAAGCCACATCCTAAAATTTACCTAGCAGCACAATCATCCATTCATAAATGATATACAGAGAAAGCAAAATAGCGCCTACAGGATCCAGCCAAGGCCATTCTGCCCAAACAGCTACAATATGCCATATGAGTTCCATCGGGCATTTTTGTCGCCTTGCCACATGTTTGACCTACCAAGAACAGGGAAAATTGTACTGGCAATGTTGAACACAACGTCATTTTCATGGTCCTGTGCCAGTGCTTGGACACTCGAGCTTCCCTTGATTGTCAAACACCATAACCACAAGATACCCTTGATAACAATGTTGGCTACGAGCAGCGTCAATGCGACTGGACCCAAATCAATGGGTTCAGATGTAGGGGAACTCTCGGTTAAACGTTCAATGGATGAAATCAAGACTTGAGAGAAAGATGTGGTGATTACAACAGCAAATACAATGATGCCCAATGGCTCCATTCTAGCCTACAAGAGAGAGAGAGAGAGAGATCAGTAAATTGCTAGCATGTCCGATGGGAGATCTTACCTTGCCCACCGGATAATCATAAAGATTCTTTTGTCGAATCACTCGGATGGTAAGGAAAATGATGCCATTACTAAGGATATCCAAGAAACTCTCAAACGCAGAAGCCAAGATAGCCATGGAGCCTGACAAGACAGCCAAAAAGATTTTTGTAGCAAACAAGGCGACATTGGCCACCATGGACAAGTTGATGGCTAAATGAATAAGCCATGTGGGCGAGGGTCCTCCGTTGGCATTCGGGTTGGTAGGAGAAGCTGGTTTCCGTAACAGTGGTGTTCCCACATTTGATTCCTCATCTTGCTCTGTATTCAGGTTTTGGACAGACACAGTTGAGCTGGCAGTGGAAACAGATCCATAATTGAGAGCCTCAAGGGATTGTTGGATACGCTCAATGATTCTATCCACCTCCTCAAATCGATCAATCATCTCATTTTGATGCTGTTGCGTACATGGAGCACATCAATAGCTAGGTCTTAAACGCATGGCGTAGACAGCACACAAACCTTGTAAAAATCCCTCACAGCCTTATTTTGGATAGCTGAAATTTGATCTTGGCCCATTCGCAGAGCATGAAAGTGCACTGGTGGAGGTTTAGCACTGGCGGCCAATGAAGCTATGGATCTCCTTCTTCTGGGTGGAAGTCTCTCCCATTCATCCTCTTGATGCGCATCCATGATTGGCAAGAAAGGTAAGAGAAAAAAAAAGGGAACAATAGCAATGGCCCCGGGATGTCGCATCAAAATGGTGTGTCTTAACGAGAAGGAAAAAAAATAGAAAGGGTTTTAGATATTCAACATGAAACCGGGGAGATATATGAGATGTGCGGACATTCGGCTCACAATAACCATGGTGATCCCATTCATTGTGATAAGCTGATCATTTTATCAAGTTTTATTATTAAAATTAGTATTTACATTAAATCAAACAGTGTCAAGACACATTGAGAGACTTGCATCCCTTAAGCGAGGATGGCAACAAAGCTGGCAATAAAGACAGCGGCCAAAGCAGACAACTGGAGCAAGTAGTTGCTACCGCCAACCAAGGGGTTGGCAGCATTGGAAGCAGTGCTTTGCGAAGCAGCGGCAGAGGAGGCGAGAGAGCTGTGAGCGTTACTGACAGAGCTTTGAGCACTAGCAGCAGAGCTTGAGGCCATTGAGGCAGAAGCAGACTGAGAGCTAATGGCGCCAGCTTGAGTGGAAGAACCTCTGATGGCGGATGAAGCAATGCCAGCAGAGACACGGCTGTGAGCAGAAGAGGCAGAGCTCAACAAGGGAGTTCTGGTATTACCACTGACAGTAGAGGAGATGGAATCGATCCTAATGCACGCTGGTTAAGAAACGTATATTGGGGTAACATGTCAATCAACTTACTTGCTCGAGAGAGAGCTAAGAGCAGGAACTACAAGATTTAAAGATGAGTTTAATACATATAAGCTATGTGTGATTTTCACATGTACCTCCTTGAGCATCTACTTGAGCAAGAGCAAGGACAGCAGCAAGAGCAATCAATAATTTAGCGTTCATTGTTGAAAAGTTCTGTATAGGTGAAAAATTATGCATGCTTTGGCTTCATCTCTCTGCCTTTTTATACTCTTTTGCTGCACTGTGATTTTCCTCCGATACCTTTTATGATCCATATCCTTTTTGAGTCTCGCCTGACACCCATCTACTTCAAGAACCCATGTCCATTGTAGCTGGTCATCTTGATTTGAGTCAAATATCGCTGCAAGTGGCGTGTATCACTCGGTGAGTTTCATGAGAAATGATTACTGCCACTGTTTTAGGTGGATATTACAGTGAATCATGATGTTGAAACAGTTTACTAGTAATCGTCAAAAGTCATTGGCTCTTTCAAGCAGAAAATCGACAAATGGTGTTTGTTGCATTACAAGCCCTCTTTCAGGGCTTGCATGTATGAAATGTGCTTGTAATATTTAAATTTATAGTATATTCATAATTAACCATAGTACATGAGGTCATGGCATCTAAAACCATCTTTATAGTCATCTCCTTGGCTCATCGTGAACAGAATCGAGTAATCCTCGGGTGTGCATTGAATGCGAATGGGTTGTGTGGGGTCCTCAATAGGGATGATGAACTGGTTCAATTCCCGGAAGCTCGTATTTGAAGTGTAATATTGGTCAGGTAGCGGTATCTCATCAGAAACATACAACACTATTGAAATATGAGTTTCTGAAATGATTGGTGTCTGTGTGTGCGTATATTTACCTGTTGCGACAGAGCGTTTGTCTTGGATGCAATATCGGTTACTACCTAGTTTGTGGCATTCAGTCGCGAGATTTGCATCTTTTTGTATCAATGGATACAGCGTCAGGTGATCTTGAACACCGATGTTTATTTCCTGCCTGTTACTAGGACCTCCATCCTCTGCTTGTGCGTCTTGTGCATCTGCCTGACCTTGAACAACTGCTGCAGCTTGGCTGGGCCTTTGGACAAAGTATTTGAAGAATTGAATGGCGTACGTTTTCCTGGCAATTCTGGTAGCTTCTTGCTGCCTAGGCATACGGACTACATTGATGATACAACCAGCGTCTTCGTATATCGCGTCATCCTCGCTTAGATTGTGTATCTCATTGTCGCTTGGCAAAGAGCGACTCAGTGTGAGCTGTTTAACCTCTCTCTTGAGAGCCTCAAAAAGATAAGCCGCACTATCCTGTCTGTTGCTGCTTAAAAACCTCTGATGCCGGCTTTGCTAATTCGTTTGAATAATCTGCTCAGGAAACACAAAGACACTTTCTCTGACAGCCGTATTATGTTGTATGTACGCTTCCGGCCTCTTGAAAGTATTCGAATGCGCCTTCATGACGGCTGACGCCAAGACACGCCTTATCCAGGGAAGTAACAGGAGCTCTGTGACATGCTTGGTGGTGAATGTCATGTTCTTGAGGACTAGAATAGCATATTCGATGGCTGTTTTCATCGAGCCGCTTGCTTCTTGGTATTCAATAGACACTACATTATCCGTGTTTGGTTCCAAAAAGACATCACCAATTATGTGCACTGCATTCTGCCTAGAAAGATCTACCTGCTGTTTGACGTAGCCCCTGACATGTTCACTCGACATGAAATTAGTCTCTGTACCCAAAAAAAGTCAGCAAATGGTGGACAGGAAAGTTTCCGGCGGTTATCAGCTCTAAGATCTCGACGGCACTGGTTAAAAACGTCTCTGGTTCTTGCTGAAGAATACCAGCAAAATCTAGCTCTTCAAAGAATGTCACAGCATTGTGCGTAAGCAGGCTTCCTCTTTCCATGCTATGTACTTTGTCTAGACCCCGTTTCTGAGTTTGCATTGCTGCTGCTAGATTGACGCTTGAATGACTCGACAACCGACTCTGCACCTCGTTTGGTTTATGAAGCGATCCAAACTCTGCGAACGATAAATGAAATATGATCACCTTGCTTGTCTCGTAATTCTTCATATTCTCTAAACCGCCATTACGAATGTAATACGAGTGTTTTGCATGCAAGTTCAGAGCAAAGCGTGTTTCACTGTCACCCTCTTTTAGCATGCCGAAATTGATGCTTGCTGAGCGGATCTTCTTCTTCAGTTTTGATGTAAGCAACGATTTAGAGTAGTCATTCAGCTTGATGATGGAATACATGGCTGTCATTTCATCAAAGTTGAAATCTAGCAAGTACATGTCAAGTTGCGTTGCTATATTGTCTCCTCGTCCACCTCTCCCTCTTTACCTATTGATACGAGTCTATTATAATTGTTGTATATCAGATTACCAGCTTTATCCTTGAGATAATACTCGGGAATTGCTTTGGCACAATCCAGGCCATAATGAATGCCGCCGCGCATGGAAGCTCTGTACCTATTTTCGGGCACAATGATGCGTTGAACAGAGCCAGCTCTCGTGATAAACCCTTCGTGCAGCTTCTTTTGCAAGTAAGGAGACTGGCTAAAGCCGCCCAACAAGAACAAGATGTCGATTGTTGTGCCAGATTCTCTAATCTGCTCGCGGATCAGCGATATGACTCTGTCAACCACAGGATCAAACACATGCTTGGCTATCTTTGTATGGCTAACGCGGATTTGATTTGTTGCTGTCAAGTCCTTTCATATTTGCAAGTTTTCAATGACCCATGGTTGAAGAAAGACTTCAACGTTCGGTGGCAATGATAAATAAATATACTTTTCGTCTATCTCGCCATGGCTAACATCAGCTTCATGGACTTGCTCGAAATCACTGTTTGCATCTTCTTGATTGCCTGCGAAATCTTTGTCATTATCTTCAAAAGAACTTTCTCTCTCGTCCAGCGCATCATTGATAAAGTCATCAGAGTAATAAGAATCGTCAAATGCATTGTTGCCGTGGCCATTTTGCTGATAATCCATCATGTACGTTGGGACCTTTGTTTCCGTTACTACCATCAAGTGAGTGTCGCCTGCAATGTCTGGCTCGACAGCCTGCTTTGTCGCTGGTGGTACATAACTACTATCCTCGCCGAAACAGTGCTATTGTCTTGACTTAGTACACATTAAAAAATAAATTGATAGCAATACCTTTATCTCGGTCTTGAATTGCTCTATCAATACCTTGAACAAACGCTCATTAGAGTATCCGAAAAAACATCTCGTCTTTAAGACACGATTCCATATGTTGATCCAAGATAGTAGATCCACATACATCCATTGACTCCGACGCCAACTGGCAGTGTTCCTGTCCGTTTTCAGTACATTCGTATGTCGCCAGAGCAGCAGTAACCCCTCCCAAGTCCACGACAGTGTAACGATGCCCTTTAAGCAACTGTGTGACAGATGTAGCACAATATTCTCGTTCACAGAATAACGACGCAGCATGAGCTTCACTGAGAACTGCTAACCGAGCCTTGTGGATTGCTTCTGGTTCTGATGCACTGACGACATTGGCTTCAATGGCAATTTGACGTAGGTCTTCCGAGTTGCTGTTCACCCATGTAGCAGGGATGGTTAACACGTAGCGAACTTGGGCTTCGTTGGCTGTTGGGTTGTTTTGCAATAACTGCTGCAATGTATAGGTGTGGGTTGCTCGTAGATAATCAACGGCGGCAGTGTGGTATGAGACAGCTAAATCTGTAGTAGCAGCATCTGTTGTGGAGTCCAGGTTGAATAATTTAAACTTAAAGTCTGACATGAGTAGCGTGTTCGCATCATTGGGATGCAGTGTCGCGTGGTCCATTGCTGCTTGTCTCCACTTTATCATTGCAGGTGGGTGCTGAGTTGTATCGTAGAGACAAACTGAGGGGGTCTTTTCGAATGTTTCTTGATGTGGCCTGTGGTTCACAATAGTGGATAAGCGTGTTCTTTAGTACTCTGGTTCGTCATCTTGCATTACCATTCTGTAACGTGCACAATCGCATCCTTTTCTTTGGTGCAAGTGTAGCAGCTTCCAGAAAATGTGTTGCCCAGATCTACGGCAGATGAGTAGTGAGTGGGCAGCATTGCAATGAGCTGCATTTATGGCGTACTCACCTATACTAATGATATAATCGTAGGCATTCAAGTCTATAATCGTTTCAAATATTGTAATATATGATCAAAGCAAGAAGAAAAACAAGAGAGAAAAAGTAATTAAGATGTATGCGCATTACAGATATAAATTGCAGAATTACCATGGGCCACAGTGTGTTCCATAAATGCCTTGAAATACAGACCATATTTATCACCATATATACAAGACATGATGGACCTCTGCCGCTACAGTAAAGAAGGAAAGGGGCTGTCTACCAGGAAGTGTTCGTTCAGGGATAAAAATTACAGATCAAATATAGCTTTATTTCAATTTAAATAACATTTCTTGGAGCATAGGGCTCTTCCAGATATTTGACATCCTCCTCTGTCAGCTTGATGCTCAGTGAACGAACCAAATCGTGCAATTGCTCCATTTTACTAGCACCAATGATGGGAGAAGTGACATAGGGCTTGGTAAACTGCCATGCCATGGCAATTTGAGCGTAGGTAGCATTGTACTTCTTTGTCAACTCGCCAATTCTGTCCATAATAATTTCATTAGATTCATGCTGTGTAGTAGGATGAAGGTTCTTTAAGGTAAAGGGCGACTCTTCACGCTTTGTGTTTCTGTTCTTGCCAGCAAGTTCACCGCCGCTGAGAGGAGACCAGGGAGTCATTCCAATGCCTGCATCGCAAATATAAGGCACCATCTCTCTTTCTTCTTCACGATAGATCAGGTTGTACAAGTTTTGCATGGAAACAAACTTGGCCCATCCGTGCTTTTCAGCGATATAGTTCATCTTTTGGAATTGCCATGCAGACATGGAGGAGGCGCCAATGTATCTCACCTTGCCAGAGCGAACAACATCATTCAAAGCCTCCATTGTTTCTTCAATAGGTGTATTCTACGTAACAATCAGTCAGTAGACTATCACAATCCTGCCATATAGCAACTTACGGGATCAAAACGATGAATTATGTACAAATCAATGTAGTCTGTATCAAGTCTTTTCAAGGAAGCATCGACAGCATCCAAAATATGTTTGCGAGAAAGACCAAATTCATTGACATACTCGGCATCGTCTTTAATGTTCATATTAAAAGTACCCACATCCTTATGAACGGGAAAGTTCACTTTGGTAGCAACGACAACACGAGATCGAGGAGCACCAATCTTCTTCAAGGCCTTACCAAGCACCTTTTCGCTTTCACCATTAGAGTAAGTATCAGCCGTGTCAAAGAAATTGATACCAAGTTTGTAACTGGCTTCGATAAACTCGATACCTTCCTTTTCGTCCTTGACCCAAGAAGCCCATTTTGAGCTACCATAAGACATACATCCGAGACAAAGACGGCTGACTCTCATGCCAGTGTTTCCGAGGCGAACATACTCCATCTTGGGGAAATCTTCAGTGGTGGTGTTGAGCATATTTTTTTAAAGGTAAATATAAAAGTTGATTTAGTTGATATGGATTCAAAAGAAATACATCCATCTTTATATATTCATTTTCATTACAAGCCCTATAGGGGACATTACGTTGACAGTTTCCGTTTTCGATACATGGTATTACCAAGAACATGGGTTTAGTTTGAATGTTACCTTTTATGTACATCAACTTACGTTTTCGAATTGCCAAAAGTGCAGGATAAAACGCACCGACAGTTTCATTTGACGCTAGTGAACTAGCTCAACCGTATGAATTTCTATACGGGTCAGAAGTTCCTCACAAGACGATAGCAAGTGGGTTTTCAAGGATGGATACAAACTTCTATGCAAAGACCTCTTGGTTGAAATGAAGGGATGTTGCTGTATTGAGGCATACCATTATTATTTGCTGAAATGTCCCTCCATAGACACCTTGGAATTGCAAATTTGACTTTTATACAGTGCTCCGCGTCTGCTTCAATGGAAACAACTCATATACGAAACTAATATACATACTGTAAAACATTCAAAAAAAGTAGACAAACAAATCATATCCTTTCAAAATTTTGTAGAATTGTGTGCCGTACAAGGTGAATAAAACCATCAGCAAAGCCGGCAGCGGGGAGGGGGGGGGGGTTTGGGGGGGGAAGAACATAACGTGTCTAATTCGACAATTGATAGCATTAATTTATAGGGGGGGGGGGCGGGTTACCGTAGCGAAGCGAAGGTTCAAAACCATAGTATTCACCAGCAATTCTGGTGTTTCATTTCCATTGTAAATAAGCTTACCAGTAACATATCGCATCAAAATTTGCATAAATTAGCTTTACCAAAACCAATATGCCTCCTGTTCGAATTAGAAGTTGCACAGACTGCAGAACTGCCTTTCCAGAAGACTTCAGCTGCCAAAGATATGATTTATGCCGTGTAAATAAAAGACATAAAGCAGAAATACAACTAAATTGGACAGTTTTGAAGCCTTCATATCTTGACATGTAGACCTTTCTGAGCCATCGGAATAACGCCAAACAATTGTATTTGAGTAGTAGTAACTTCCTGACACCTTTGCTCAACTTTTTGGGAACCAAAAAATCATCGCGAAAAATTGACTCAAAACCATGAGGGGTACCTCATGATTTTCATTGAAAATCAAACGATCGAGTTTTTGACCACCATAATGAAGACTTTTACTATGGCATATATTGAATCAAAATGATTGTACTGATCCAAAGTAGCTCTTGAAAACTTGTTCGTGTCACTTTTGTATGCAACATCTCAACATTTTCGACGAAAGCCTCATTTTGTATTGTCATGAACTGCTCAATAAGTTTGTTCAAAACACCTCTTATAATTAGTACCATTAGATAGACCTTAAAAAGTGCTTCAAGGAAGCTTAAGGCAGTACTGGAAAATTCGTACTATTTCATAGTCGAATCTGCCAAAATAGGTCGAATCGTGTTCAGAAAGTCCAAAAATTCACAAATCAGGACAGAATGTCGAGCGGAGAATGAATCGATTTGATAGGCGGCAACAGGCGAGGTCAATGCCATCCTGATCATTGAGGTAATTGATGCTTTCAAACGCTCATGAAAAAGGGATTGCGAATTGAAAAGTAATATCGCGTAGTCTGTTGGATACTATATTTTAGTTTTGCAATGAATTTGTATAGCCATCAGCTTTCGCCAGAGTAATTTGTTCGCCCAAATACAGATCTTGATTCGAAATGCAGATTCGACCACCCTACCTGTGATGCCACACTCCAAGTATATGTTATACTTATGTACCACTTTGGTGTAGTCGACTCAAAAATTCTCTTGTATCTGAGGGCGTTATATGTTGAGTAATAACTAAACCCTATTGAGGCCTTATCAGGATATATACTACTTGCTTTTGCGTGAAAGCATGCAATATCCCTTTTTCACGATCCATTGAAGCTTAAACTTTGCAACAAAGAATAGCCACGTATGCACAACTCAATACAAGACTAAATGCTATGAATATCCGACATATCCAATGCCTGATCTAGGTGACACGAGTAAATGTTCGAGGAGGCCTTTTAATAATGCATGTAAATACACTTTCTTTGTTCTGTCGCATATTCTATGGGCATGCGATATGATAACACGTTATATTATAGTAGCTTATAATCCAACTGATTTAAATAGAGTCAATATAATTGAACTCAACGAGCTGTAACTGCAGAGGGCATCATTGGATTCGAATTCGACATGGTATGGCGAAATGGTAGCCCTTACTGCATACAAGTTACACTATATTGATTGTCTTTCTTTGTACATACACGCACGCATAAACATAGCAGAGTATTAAATAGATGCGCACCTTACTTTTCTTTCCTCTTTATTACTTTTATCTTCAACACATGTTGTCTGATTTTACTAACGATACCTTCACCGGATGGGCTTGCACTGCCAAAGGTAAGTTGATGGTTTAGTCAAGTAGAGCGCTCAAAAATGCTAACCTATATCTGTGGATTAGGCGAACCGCTGCGAGAAATGGAGTTACCTCTCAAAACTTGGGATGAAAACTGCGTAGATATGGATATTATTTGTTGCGGTATGTGCGGAACTGATCTTCATATCCTTGAAGAAAATGTTGGCCCTGGCACTCTCTGGCCATGTGTCGTTGGTATATATGTCAACATTGAATGACGTTTGATGCACTTACTAAGGTTCTATCAAGGTCATGAGATTGTGGGTAAGGTCACTAGAGTGGGTAAGAATGTCACCAATGTCAATGTGGGTGATAGAGCTGGTGTTGGTTGTCAAGTTGATTCTTGTGGTAAATGTGAAGAATGCTTGAATGGGAATCAGAATATGTGCACTGTTCGCCCTGTCTTGACGTATAATGACAAATGGTTTAGCGGCGAAAAAACGTATGGAGGCTATGCCAACCGTTGGGTTAGTATCTGAATGGCACATACGTATATATGTTTGGCTAATTCTTAATTAATTTCAAGAGAGGAGACTATCGCTTTGTTTGCAAAATACCTGATTCTATGCCAAGTGAGGTCGCCGCTAGTAGTTTCCTGTGCGCTGGATTGACTTGTTTTTCACCTTTGAGGAGAACCAATGTAGATTCAACGTCTGTAGTGGATGTCATGGGTATAGGTACATAATTTGGTATGTGTGCCTCTGTGGATAGTCTGCTCATTATCATTATAGGAGGATTGGGTCACTTTGCTGTCTTATTTGCCAAGGCCATGGGTGCCAAGGTCATTGCCATGTCTCAAACTGCATCCAAGCGCAGCGTTGCCTTGGAGTTGGGCGCAGACGAATTTCTTGTTACCAGTGATGCTACGGCCATGTCCTCTTACAAGAAACAAATGACCCATATTCTTTGCACTGGCACCAACCCAGCCGATTTTCAATGGAATGACTATTTCAGTCTTATCAAAAGCAATGGCCACTTTGTCAATGTCATGCTGGGCAATTGGGTGTTTCCTCCTATCAATCCAGCCATATTGATCTTTCATCAAGTCTACATTCACGGTTCCTTTATTGGTAGCCCAAAAGAGATGGGTGAGATGCTGGCTTTTGCTGTAGAAAAGAATATTGTTCCTTGGGTCACCACGTATCCCATGTCCAAGGTCAACGAGGCTCTCAAGGACTTTAAGGCCGGAAAGCCCAGATTTAGATTTGTTTTGAAGAATTGATTTGAAGTAAATGACATTGACGACAGTGCTTATCGTTTAAGCTTTTTTTCTGTAATTTTCACGTTGCACAATGTTCCTTAACAGAATTGAAAACGGAAGATCACCGTAAGACAAAAACTTCAAGGTGTTTGTATCAATTTACTGCGGCTTTGTTGAAGATTTGGAATATTCCATATGCTTTACGCCGGGCTTTAATCTGGCTTGCACCATCGTATCCTTAGTGAGATCAACAGATTAACCTCATCTTCCAGGTGTATTTCCTCTAGGCATTCCATCCGTTAATTACTTGATAGGTAAAAGTATGCTAGACTAAAATGCGGCCAGACGAGTGTTACCATGGAGATGAAAGGCTGGTAGAGAGCAGGAAGTTCCAGCAATGCTTCTGGCTATGACTTTACGAGGGCCACACCCACTCCAGTCGAGCCTTTGATGTTGGCATACCGTGCCTTGCCCTGACACATCTTTTACGCGCATGTCAATAACGCGAATGCAAGAAGACCACTGTCAATGAGAGATTAGGTATATACTACAGTGGGATATCACTGCTGGCACACATATACATCTCATACGGTCAAGAGTGAGTCATGGCGAGTTATCAAGAGATGCACAGTTGTATTACTCAACTGCATACGGGGTTTCGGTAATGTGATTTTCCGTAATGAAGCTCCCTTTCGCTCATTCGGGTCAAGAAATAGAGAGCAAGAAGAGAACGAAGAAGGGATTGATGAGGGTAGGTGAGGAAACACACATGTAAATTGGCTTTTGTACTTGTTGATGTGCGTGCTTGTTGGTTTCAACTGGAGCGTGTAACACCTGTAGACATGCACGCCTTGAGGCGTTAGTCTACATGTTGAATGAACAAGTAAAAGAGTAGCGAACACACCGTTTTAGCCATGTGATTGGAATTATCAATTGAACACAACATGATAAGTTTATAATAAGATCAACAACAATGCCACTAAAGGCTAATACATGCAAACTTCGTTTGGTTTTTTTGCACCTTTATCGATGTGTAATTGGTTCTTGGTGATAACGTTATACAGGATAGGACCTTGGCGTTTATTAGTCGAACCTTAAAATGGGCTCGTTCATGTTGATTATTACCATCGATGCTACATGGCCAGCGATTCATTCACCATCCATGCTATAGATCCGCAACTCAACACCCTCTCTGCGGATGACTCAATTCAAACGCGATTTGTTCCTAGTAAAAGGATGATAGCACCGGTAGAGACGGTGTTGATTGATTGCTGCTGCATCGTCGTTTCAAATCACTCATGTTGTTGATTGCAAACAAAAAATACACACACACCATTTCAAATCTTTCTTTTACCTTCTCTCTTCTCTCTCTCTCTCTCTCTCTCTCTCTCTCTCTTTTCTTCTTTCTCAGTTGTTCCTCCTGTTTCTTTCTCCATACAAATCCTCGTCATTACAAAAAAAGCTTAAATACGTTTCATTTGCTACAAACTTGCCTCCCAGTCTCGAGAAACAGAAAGAAAAAAAAAAAAAAAAGTTTTTTTTTTAATACACAACTCATTTTCAACGTCAAACCCTCATGTCGTCTGTATTTGTACCCGAAAACAGCGGTTCACCACAACAGCAGAAACAGCCTGAACAAGCAAGACCCAAACGACCCAGATCCAGCTTAGCAGTAAGTTTGGCAGGCGCCATTCGCATAGAGGGATTACTGATGTTTCTATAGTGTATTCGTTGTCGCAAAAAGAAGGTCAAGTGTGATTTCGTGCAGCCAACGTGTGGACGTTGCGCTATTGCAGGTTTGCCCTGTAGCTATGCCACGCCTCCCCGCAGAGTAGATGGACACGCTTTCGATCAACTTGGTAACCATGTAGAAGAGCTTAAAGAAAGAATGCAAAAGATGCAATCAGAACTCGCCATGATGAAGAACAACCTACACCCATTTGCATCCACCTCCGCAACTGCCAACCCTGATGATATGGATTCAGGCCATTCCACGCCCAACATGATGATGACGGATGGTAGTCAGAACAACATGGCTTTGGCCACCTCCTCCTCGTCTTCCTCTGATCAATCAGTTACCTGGAAACTATCTCTCTCGCCTTCTGGCCTCAGAATTGACACCAACATTGCCAGTGTAGCTGATCTCTACCGCATCTTGCTCAACGGCATCAGTCAACTCAACATCAACAATGATTCCACCACCAGTCTATTCAATCCTGAAAGCTCGTCATCGAACTCTGCTTCCTCTGCCAACCCATTTGTAGGTGCTCGTAAGCAGCCAACAAAAGCCAATTTAAGCAGTGCAGGCAGCAACAACAGCAGACGCAGCACAACGAGTTATTTGGATGCAGGCATGATGGACAACAACGATAAAGGAGGGCGCTTATGGGAAGTAGACGATAATGAAGCCAGAAAGATTCTGCAAGAAAAGAAATCCAACGAAGATACCTTGCCCAAGGAAGTGCTTGATAATTTGATGCACACATGCTATCATACGTGCTTTTTGGCCTACCAAGTAGTGGACAAGGACCATTTCATGCAGCAGTACTTGTCAGACGAAGGACTGGACCCCCTTTTAACCAATTCTATCAACGCTTGGGTATCAAAGCACGGCTGCATCTATCACAATGCCAATGGCGGCAACTCGCAAACCACCATGGGCGAAGTCTACTTTAAAAACGCTCGTCAGTTGCTGAAGAAATGCTTTGATATCAGTAGTCCCACTACCATTCATGCTCTTTTGAACCTGTACATGTATCAATTGAGCAGTGAAAGATCAAGCCTGGCTTATCTGTACATTGGCCTTGCTATCCGTATGGCTCAGGATCTAAAGTTTCACAAAAAGGAACATATGTCGGCTGATCTGAATCAACGTGAGACCAACAAGCGATTGTGGTGGTCTGCTTACTGGCTTGATTTATGTGCTGCTCTTGAATCCAACCGTCCTACCATGGTGGATGATAAAGATTGCGACCTGGATTACCCTGTGCGCCTGGATCATGAGGACGAAGAGACCGGCTATCGTATTCACTTTACAGTGTACTCTATCAAACTGATGCGTATCCGAAAGGACATCACCAAGCATCTGCCCTCTGAACAGTCGGGTCAATCGCTGCTGTCTGCCATCTCCAGGCTGGAAAATGCGCTTACCAATTGGCTGAGTGAGTTACCTCAAGATCTGCACTATGATGACCAATCCACTGTGTTCCAAAAGACGGGCTCCTTCAGAGATGAAGCGTGTCTCATTCTTAACATTCAGTACCAAACCACTTGGATCATGCTGCACAAGTTCTTCTTGCCAAAGCAAGATCAAACTGCCACGCCCGTTGCTCTGCTGTCTCTCAACATCTGTACCAAGTCTGCCAACCTCATTACGCGCATGCTCAGTATCTATGCTTCCAGCTTGAATTGGTGCCAGTTCTTTTACGCCATGGATGGCATCATTGCGAGTGTCACTATTCATCAAGTCAATGCACTTTCAAACGAAAAGGAGGTGTCTTGCTTGGCCCAACGCAATTTAATCATTACTGCCAGTGTGCTAAAGGAGTCGCCATTGATGTACATGGTCAAAGTGTGCGAAATCATCGAGAGCATTGAAGGCTTCTTGAAGAAGAATGGTCTGTCATCTGAATTGAGTGATTTGCCTGCTGTCAATGAGGACTCCATCAACCAACAATCCATCTCTTCTGTGTTCCATCCTGCTGTGTTTGAGTCGCAACACATGATGTCTCAACCGCAACCACACCAGCATCAGCCACCATCCCATCAAGCACCTCTACATCATCCTCATCATACACAAGCACATCAACATCAAGCACCACAACCACCACCACCTCAGCAGCAGCAGCAGCAGCAACAACAACAGCCCCCACATCACCACCAACCACAGACGATGTCTTATTCTGGTTCTATATCACCTTCTGTACAATCACAGCACACAATGATGAATTCACCTCAATCTCAACATTCGTCGTCAACCATACGTGTTCCTTCGCAACTCGCTTCTGGCATGTTTCAACAGCAAACCCTCTCTCAACAACCCTCTTCGTCAGCCAATGCTGCAGGACAGCAACAACCCAACAACAGTGTGTATAATAGCTCGGGCATGATGGTGGAACCCAGCATGTTTCTGAACGACCCTACCAGTTTAATGGGATTCAATATGCCAACTCAGGGCGGTGGAGACATGGATCAGTTGTTGCTAAGAAACATGGGCTTTGATCTGAACAACCCGACCACGCCTGGTGGTGCTGGTGGGCCTGGTGATGGCAGAATATACAGCATGTTTGATAGCAGTACCAGCAACGCACCTAATACCAATACAAACTACCCTTCTGGCGGCGGCGGTGCTTCTTCTGCAGCACCCTTTACAGAGACCTTTGCCGGTTCCTATACTAATACACAGACTAGTTTTACATCTACTACCGCAGATAATTCTAATAATTCAAACAACACTACCAATGCATACCCCAACTTTTTAAACAATACGGAACTATTTGGGATCCCAACAACCACAACCACAACCACAGTACAGCAACAGCAGCAACATCATCAGCAACAACCACAGCCTTATTCTACTAATACACCTACTAATTTCGATCCCGCCAACTTGTTTGGTTCAATGAATATGGATCCTGCTACCATGAGTGCCTTGTTGTACAATAATGCTGGCATGTCTAGCTTTGCATATCAACAACAGCAAGCACAGCAACAGCAAGGACAACAGCCTGGTGGTACGCCTACAGGCGATGAAGCGGATATGTTGTATGGTACAAACAATGGTAGAAAGAGAGTACATCGTGATTGGGAAGATGCTGCTTAAATCAAAGAGAGCGAGAGAGAAATAAACACTTTTTACTTGCAATAAACAACAACAACTACTACTACTACTACTAATGCATGTTTCGTGGAGCTCAGTTTGCCAGCTAAACCTACTGTACGCATGAGAGTCATCTTTTGTAGTATAAAAGGAGTAAACCAATCATGCGTTTAGAAACACCCTTATCCAATCCACTATTAAAGGCAACATTTAGTGGTTTTTTTTTTTTTTTTTTTTTTTTTTTTTTTTTTTTTTTCCCCATTTCTTTTTCTTTTTTCATAAACATAAAAAAAAAAGATGACGCTTATTCCATTTGATTCATCAAAGAAATGGCTTGCCATTTCGTTCATTACAGCATTGGCCGTAGCTAATGTATCTGGACCACAATACATCTACCCCACATACGGCACCTCATTGAAGAACCGCTTTCATTGGAATGGTGTGGAGAACAGCATGGTCAGCACAGCGACATTTGTAGGTGTCTCCTTCTCGGGCCCATTGTGCGCTTGGTTGCTAGAGACCCTTGGATTTAGAAGGCATGTGCATCTAATTGACCTGGTATGAATAGAATGTGAAGCTAAACAATCGCCTCAAACAGGACCTTGGCAATATCCGCATTTACAGCACTTACAGGATTGTTTCTATTAGCCCAGACCTATGCAGGATACTTGTCGAGCCATTACATGTTGTGCTCTATTTATTTGGCATGCACCGGTGCTGCTGGTGCTGCTTCTTATTTGTGCGCTCTGGATTCTCAGGTAACAAACATAGCAATACATCAATTGTGCCCTACTACCGCATCATGCCATCATATTAACCACTTGTTTATCTAGGCTCACAACTTTAAATCTCATCGAGGCATGAGTATGGGGCTTACAAGCGCCTCCTTGGGTATCAGCGGATTGATCTTTTCGCAAATCAATGACCATTTCTTCAAATCACAAGCAGAAGACGGCCATGGGGAGCAAGACACCAGTACATTTGATTTCCTGATCTTTGTAGGTGCATGTATTTTCATTGTGACATTGTTTGGTTCATTTGTTTTGGGCCCTGTTGACAAATCCGAAGCGATATCAGTACCCAATGACCTTGTGCAACAACAGCAGCAGCAACAACAACAACAGCAGGAAGATGAAGTGACACACAATCTCAATTACCACACCTACACGCAAAGTATCAGCAGTTTCAGTACTTCATCTACACGCTACGAGGAAGAGGAACAAGAAGGAGACGGGGAAGAGAGGCCCTTGATCTCTAAAAATGTCATTGTGTCTGCTGACAACATCTCCATGATCAAAAAGATGGCAAATCAATATCAACCAGATATCAGAATTGAAGAAGAACCCAGCATCTCTGGTATTGCATTTTTCACTGATCCAGTTGGGTTCTCACTTGCTTTTGCGTTGCTTGTCATCTTGGGATTGGGGTATGTGTATTTAGCCAACTTGGGTCAATTGGTCCTGTCCGTATCGCCAGCAGATATTTCATTGGGACAGGCACAGCATGTTCGCAATGTGCATGTCTCTATCTTTAGCATCGCTAATTGCGGGGCCAGAGCTGTGTTTGGTACATTGAGCGATATTCTGCAAAGGAGAGTTGGGGTACACCGTCTATGGTTCTTTTGGTGTGCTGCAATGGGTCTGGTGATGTCCATGACTTATCTTATTACTTCTGTATCAACTGCAGCTGAGCTAATCTCATGTACCATCATGACGGCCATCGTATATGGTATGTTGTAGTGCGATGTCGTGTTGTATATACTGATTCACTCACACGCACGCTATCGATAGGTATTGCATTCGGTTGTGCACCAGCAATTATCAGTGAATTCGGAACAAAGGTTTGTCTGTGGAGCTTTGTGTTACATTTCGTTTGCTGATCCTTCGAGTATAGGCATTTGCTCGCAATTGGGGCTGGCTATTGTGTGCTCCAGCTATTGGAAGTCAGTTATTCAATGTCATTTTCGGTACATTTTACGAAAAGGAATCCAAGCGACAAGGAGAGTCGGGTGAATGCTATGGGTCCGGCTGTTATCAAATGACGTTTTTCATTGGTATCTTATCAGCTTGTTTGTGTACGTTTATTCTGTCGCTGGCGATCTACCGCAAAGGGCTGTACAAGAGACAATCGACACCCACCGTGCATTAGATAGATAGATATTCGCATGTTATACCACTATTATTTCTTCATACCATAATTAATACCTATTATACACTATCATAATAGTCATTCAGAACGTTTCTATTAATAAACAATATAGGATTGCAATTGATCCGTGTCATGTCCATGTGTGTATGTGTGGTTACTACTGTGCCTACATATTGTACATGTATAAACTGCATATATATATATAATTGTTTGCTAAAACAGTCAAAATGTACAAACATTACATGCGAATATAAATCTTTAGTGTGCCTGATATCTTGTTGCACAGTAGCTGGCAGTTGTGTATTGCTCCAATCTTTTGTATCAAAAATCATTTGATAATTTCAAATCTATAGCAGCAATTGGAGCTTGGCCTCTTCGTAAACGCCAAGTTGTGTAGAACCTGCTGTCGTTTGCATTGAAAGCATGCGTATCTACGAGACATCTCCTCATTGCATGGCCTATTCAAAGTGATCAAGTAGACAGTGCATCCAGGAAAGCTTGTTGCTGCGAAAACGCTAGTTATTAGAATCCTACTCAAATGTTCATCCATAATACACTAAAGGTTGATAGCTCAATACGCATATTTGTTCTTCCAATTGATACAGATCACTGATATTCCCAACGTTTGGCCAAATTGTTACATCGGAAAGTCTCTACAATGATGCCTACTGCCATGTAATCGTAGAAGCGTACCAAAACTGTACTCATATTATTGAGTGAGCCATCAAACACGGATGCATATTTATATCTATCAATAAGAAATTGAGATTTATTATTGAATACGAGCCATTCGACATTTCAAGTGGCTTCCTGACCTACGCTTCGCTTTGGTGGAAACCAACAACCTACGTTCAAACGGCTAGCGCTGTCGCAGGCCATTGGCTAATATCGCAAAGTTGATATAGCTAAAATGTTAGAAGAACCTTGATTGCTGATTGATGTAAGATCACTAATCAGATGAAAGTTTATGCTTCGGGTGATTCTTTACCTTCGCTTCGCTTCGGTGAAAGCCAACCTGCACAGTGGCAGCTCGTGCTACCGATTGCCCTTGCGTATCTTATCAAAATATTGCTACTTTCATTTTGACCCTCCACTTACACGAAACCCCTTCATATTATCTGTTGACCTTATAGCTTACTCTGATGCGATGCTCTACATCTATATAAACGTAGCTACTTTGTATAGGGCAAGCAGCATACTATTCTATCTTAAATCGAAATGTTTCTATCAATCTAAGGTAGCGCCTGAAGTCATCTTTGTGGCACCCTGCTATGTAAAATCATGAATTTTTCTTCAAAATCTGCCTGTGGTAGCAAGCGAAAAAATTGGGTGACCTTTTTTTGATCAGGACAATATTGTCAATATTTCATGATAGAGTTATGCCAGAGCTTCAAGCAATAACTCATTCGACAGGAAATTCTTTGGTCTACAATGTTTAGTAATGCTTAAAATAATGTTTTGATGACAGATACTGATTAATCTTTAGGAAACAGTCAAAAAATCGCAAATTTTATCTCATCAAAAACCAGTTGAGCAATGTACACCAAAGACTTGATATGTATACCATTGCATTCTCCTTTGAATTCCCTACAAGTTTCATGTAAGTTTGAAGGGGGTGGTTACTATCAAGAAACGCGTAATTTTAAGGTCGATAGATTTCGGTATCCCGTGGATCATCATTCAGATTATTAGAAATTGAAGCTCCGTTGACCTTCCGCATGTGTACACCACACTAGCATGCATTTAACTAAGCATTTGAAAAATCGGAGCGTACGAAAAGGGCCATATTAACTTGCTGGTTTCAAATTATCAATGGATACTTGACATGTTGGAGAATCTTGCTTTTGAGACTAGACAGTTGTAGCTTGCTTTGTTCGATTATAATGAGTCTTCCAATTTAAAGTATGTATATTCCCCGGCTTAAAAACAACCAAGAACCTCTTTTCATATTTCCATAAATTGTTCAATATGTTTATTGAAAGAATCTATATTACGTAATACCATTAGGTGCGGCTTGAAAAGCACATCAAGAATGTATCAGGAAGCATGAGATGATCATCGTATTTTATATAATCGAATCTGTCAAAATAGTTGAATCAAATCGTAAAACCATCAGAATCTGGTCAATCTAGAGTAGACTACGTCCGAGTTGAAACTAATTTTGGCAGCTAGTAGTGGGGCCGGCTAGCAAACTCAGTGCCCTTTTTATCATAAAGGCAATACAGTAATAGACTCTTTTGAAACGTATGGAAAGTAGGTGGCAAATGACATAATAGTACTATCGCTAGCAGCCATGCTATTCTCCTCTTTAATCAAATGCGCCGCACAGCTTTGAGTCTATGCCAAATAATAACGGATAAAGGTTTAACCAAAAGGGTTTAACTACAACGTTTCCCAGCGCCTAATCCATCAATCTACCACTCGCAATCCCTTGCAACTATCAGCTTTCAATAAGTTTTATACATTGGTCTTTGCTCAGAATTGTCTTCTTCTTTCCAAAATCTTTCGCTTTTAATCAGCAATTCATCATCCATCCTAAAACCTAACTAGACTATCGTTTTTGTCCCTTAAATTTGGTATACAAGAAACATGCTACCTTCAAAGCGAATTTCAGAGAATTCAAAAGAGATGACAAAGAGAAAAGCGTAAGAACTAGAGAAAAAGGTGCGTGAGCGATGGTTCCAAGGTATAGCCCTGACTACAACTCAATCTATTTACAAGTCATATTGGACCGTTTATACACAGCACTGTGCGACAGCATATGTTGAAACCTTTATATTCTGTCTTTTGTTGAGGCTGTTCTACTACCAGACTCATAAAACATCTCCTACGTAAGTGCCTTTCACTGATAATATCACCACACCACAACGAAGCGAGTTACGGTCAAGCGGTTCAACTTCTCTGCTTTCCAACATTTTATCTACTTGTCTGCTATTTGCAATTACGAGGAAATAGTTGGGAAAGTAGCAATTTCACGCCCATAGTTGCGGACACACTGAAAGCAGCTGATGATAAATAATATTCAGTTTTTGAGGCTTCTTTATGGACTCTTTGCATTTAAGTTGTCAAAAGCAAGGCATCGACTGTTTATTTATGTTAGGCGTATTGTGATACTCATGGATAACAGCAAGACATTGTGGTCTGGTATTTCGATAGTCAAAACCACCACCAGCATGTGGACCTTTTTTTTTTTTTTTTTTTTTTTTTTTTTTTTTTTTTACCAATTATCTGGTAAAGAGTACCCGCCTTCACAACAGGAAGATATTCTGTGTAGTAGAAAATGAGCGTTGATGGCCTATAGGTAAAATATTTGCAGCTTTGGGGGTTTATTTGCGGATTGCGTGATCCTGTGTGCAAAAAAAGCCGAAGATTAAGCAGGCCTTGCCTTTGATTCTTTGGCCCTTAAAATTATGTTTAGTAGCTCATGCCCCTACAAGCATCCCTCAATGCTCATAGGCCTATTTGAACAATACCCAATATGGATTACCTTTTCTTTCTCTAATATATTCTCTTCTGCTAGAATCCATGAATTCAAATTCTTTAACAGAGAGGATCACACGTCTACAAGATCATCTTTCCTCACAATATGTAGATTTTGATCGAGAGACAACAACAGATCGTCTACAATCACTATACTCTGATTTCTCCAAACTCAAAATCTTGAATCCATATGGGTACGATGCGAATGTAAACTACTGGAGAGCCGTTATTTTGGACTGCAATCTTCATGGTTATTTGACAACAAAGGACTACAGCTGCTTCATAGACAAAGACGAGCTTGCAGATTTATTTTATCGACCTAAAAAGGGCAAACCTCTTTCACTGAGCCATGTCGTTGTGAGTAATACAGAGCGTGTGTCGTGAATGATGATATTTATGAGCTTGAGAATAGGAAGACATGACTGAAAAAACACACGACTTAATTACCCAGAAAGAGTATGAAAAACGATACCCTATCCAAGCAACAAACCCATCCAGCAAAAAGCTCACATGGCTACAATGGATCTATCATACACCATATCGTTGGCTTATACCCGAGGCATCAGCACATTTGTACATTGTCTTACCCACAGTGCAAGAGTATGCCAAGATAATCCTTCAACGACATTACAGCAAACCCTTATGTAGCTCTCTAGACAATCTATTTACCTTTCTGGAGTTTCGAGAGGAATACGGAACGCTAACCTGCCATCAAGAGACAATTGTACAGTTGAGTAGTTTGGATGTGTGGGTCATTCTCAGATATTTGCATCATTGTTATGGTGTTGCAATTGCAGATGCGGTCAAGATGTTTGGAGCAGCAACTAGCAGTAGCACAGTCATCAAATTTCCAGACAGAAACGAAGCCGTCAAAGTAACTGCCAGAATCACAGACAATGACAAGGCTATCATCAACTTGAAGACTGCGTGTTCCACATTGCATAAGCAGGTGGATGAACTACAATCAAAGAGCGAAGAGTGAGTAGCAAATGCGATGAATGATGGATAGCTGCAGTAACCCATGCCATGTATAGATTTTTAAAGTTGACTCGAGAGTACAACGAGAAAAATCAGAAGCTTCAAGCAGTCTACATGTTACGAAAGAAGAAGCAAATTGAAGGGATTCTGGATCGTAGATTCAAGACATTGGAAACAATGGAGACGATCCTGTTGAAAATAGAGACATCCCAAAACGATTTACAAGTAGTCGAGGCATTTAATATGGGCGCAAACACACTAAGGTCGTTACTGAGTGAGAAGGACACTGTGGAACAGACGATGGACAAGTTACAGGACACATTGGAAGATCAAAAACAAGTTGAGGAGGCTATGACGATAGGCAATGAAGAGATATCCAATCAAACGATAGGCATGACGAATGAGGATTTAGAAAATGAGTTAGACTCACTGGTTACTGCTGACAAGCAGCCGCCTTCCACAAGAGACACCGTTGCCAACCTAACTCAGCCGATTGACACGGAATCCGAGTTATTACGGCTGCAAAATGTATTGTCATCATTAAATCATCCACCGAGTGGCAGTTATCAAAGAAAAATAAAAACTAAAGAGCTGGCTTGAGTTATTTTTTTTTTTTGCATTACTCATGTTGATGGTACAGTTGTGCTGACGGAAATGAAAAATACTCGAGATGAAGGTTACAGTATATATCTTTCTTCCCAAACCTGATTTTACTCAAAGGGGCCTGCGGGAAATGAAGGAAGAGCCATTCTATTATGTAACATGTTGAGCTTGCTCACTGCTGTATTAATCATCTCTGGCCCAGATTAATAATATTTAACACCAATAGTAAAACTTTCATTACCAAAGCCCAGCTTTAAGCGCCATTCAGCCGATACACACAAAACTGCCTTTTTCTTTTTTGAATCTTTCTCTTTCTTTTTTCTGTTATCTTTCCACATCCCCACACACACATTTATCCATTTTGAAGAAAAACGCCATCTTCTGCATCTGATTAAAAAATCGTCTGAACTGATTCTGTACACAATTTTGTATCATTCTCATCTTGCAAAAGCCGTATAAAAAGATAAAATTCCTGTGAAAAAGAAAAAGAGAAAAAAAGCTCTAGATTTTTATCAATACCACTTCTCCTCCCCTCTCTTTCTATCATCCAAATACGTCTCCTCTCTTTCCCCCCCCCCCTCCAACTCTTATCTTGCTACAACATGTCTTTTGATAATCAGCAACAATCGCTGGACCCGAACAACAACTTACACGTAACTTTCAGTCCAGACAGCTCAACAGCAACAACAACCTCCAAATTCGATGATAAACCCAACGAAGGCTATTCCAACTTTTATGCACCACTCTCACAATCATTTAGTGCCAATGATACCATCCAAAACCAACAGCAAAACTTAGATGATCTATACAACAGTTACCCTACGCGCGCATCATTTCAGCATAACTCATACGGCATGCTTCCGCCACCCAGCGAAATTAACGATCAGTCCAGCTCTCACGACTCTGAAAAGGTAGTTGAAGTATCTCCCAACGAACGCTATGTCAAGCTGAATACACTGCTCGGCAAGGGTGCCTACAAGGTAGTGTACAAAGCCATTGATCGTGAGGAAGGATACGAGGTAGCATGGAATACAATGCAATCGATGCAATCGCCCAACAACAAGGATTTGGAGCATGAAATACAAATTCTAAAGTCTGTCCGTCATCCAAATATTATCGCCTTTCATGATGCTTGGTATGGCGAGAATGAGTTTGTCTTTATCACAGAGCTCATGACCTCTGGCACACTGCGTGAATACATTCGAAAACTGGCCCCATTGCCCAACCTCAAAATCATCAAGCGTTGGTCTCGTCAAATTTTGAAGGGCTTGGCTTACCTGCATGGCCATAATCCTCCTATCATCCACAGAGATATCAAGTGCGACAACATCTTTATCAACGGTGCTCATGGCGAGGTGAAGATTGGCGATATGGGTACAGCAGAAATGAAATTGGGTAAAAAATACACTGTGATTGGTACTCCCGAGTTTATGGCACCAGAAATGTACGAGGAACAAGGTTACAACGAGAAGGTGGACATTTATGCTTTTGGCATGTGTTTGTTGGAGATGGCGACAGGCGAATACCCCTATGGCGAATGCAAAAATGCGGCACAGATTTACAAAAAGGTCTCTGCTGTAAGTATAGTGTCGTTATTCTCAAGCATCATCAGCTTAAATTGTTTTTATCTCTCTTCAAGGGCATCAAACCTGCTTGTCTCTTAAAAGTGCAGAATCCTGAGGTGCTGAATGTGATTGAAAACTGTCTCAGCAACGAAGATGAACGTATGTCAGCCCAGGAAATTTTGGAACACTCGTTTTTAGCAGTGGAGCCCGATGTGGTCTTGCTGGCTGCAGATCCAGACAATGTTCACCTCACTCTCCAAGTCGTATTCAAGGGCATGGACAAGCTATCTGTCAAATTCGACTTTAATGTGGAAACAGATACAGCCGAAGAAGTTGTGCGTGAAATGATCGAAGAACAAGTGCTGCCTGAACGGTATCAACATCACATCACAAAGGAAATCAACCGCATTCTGCGTGATATCGATAAGCCCACCGAGTCAGAGCAAGCCGAACAAGTGAGAAGATCTGTTTGGAGACGAGAAAGCGACATTCGCAACGAATTGGACCGTACGCGTGATGAGCTGAATCATGCTACTGATCGTGTGCACGAGATTGAACTGAAATGTGATGATTTCGAAAACAGAGCTCGTGCCGCAGAGAACAGATACCGAGATGCCTTGAGAAACTTGCGAGAATTGGAAGAGTTAAAGTCCCCTACCTCTTTGTCAGAAAGCGGATTGAGCGACACAGTGTCCACCATGTCATTGGTTAATGGACACTCACAAGAAGAACGCGAGAAACTAGTGAACCACATCTTGGATGGTAACGTGTATTTGACTATAGTGTTGTTTCTTGTGCTGACAATGATCATGTAGAATACTCAGATGATACTGATATCGGTGTATTTGTAGCAGATTGTGCCCAAGCATCTCATCGTGGAGCAGATAAAGCACATGAATGGGCTAGAAAGCTACAGAATCAAGACATCATGACAGTGGGTGATTTGCGGGACTTGCACGATGAAGACTGGGCTGGCATTGGATTAACTGTGTTTGCCTTGAGAGCATTAAAGAACATGCTGAAGGGTAAAAGATTGGCCGCTAGTCAACAGCAACCATTATCGCCTCCATCACAACCAGCGCAATCACCTCCACCACCATCATCATCGCTCATATTATAAATCATGGAATAACTAATACTAATATCAAACACCCAACTATAAACAAGTATCGTATATATAATAAAACTCGCCATATCATACAGCCATTCCGCTTTTATGTGAATAATGATTTTATATATAGAAAATATGTGCAAAAAAAAAAAGAGGTTGGGAAGGAAGAATTAGAAAAATAGCAATAGCAAAATGATTGTAATGTGTGTGTGTGTGTGTGTGTGTGTGTGTATATATAATGTTGTTGTTTAGTCCATCATCATGATATCGTCGTCTCTTTCGGTCAACATTTCGTCTCTTGCTTCAGAGTGAACAATTTCACGGCGCACTTCAGGGGAAATGCCATTGTGGTACTTCTTCTTCATCACCTCTAATAAGATATCCTTTTGCTCACCTACCAAATCTTGCTTATAACGTTGAACAAAGACCAACATGGACTGGTGCCAGAGAACAGGCATATCACGAGGATCGTTCATGAAACGAGCAAAGTGCATCACAAGCGCATCAACCACCTTGAAGGGCAAAGCATACTTTTTATCAAGCAAGATACGAATAAACAAGGAGTTGGGACCTGTGTACTCCATTTCAGCCAGACGCAAAATAGCAGCAGAAGAGTGCAACACGGGAATAGACACCTTTGTGAGAACACTACCCAAGATGGCGGCTTCCTTCAATGTACAGTTACCAGACTCACAAAGAGGAAACAGTATGCCCTTGAAGAAAGCAGCAGGCTTATAGAGTGCTTTCTTGAGTGCCAAGTAGAGATGATAGCTCAACTTTTTGTTTTCAGCAATGTCATCACGAACACGATCCAAGAGCACAAGAGAAAAGAAACGTTGAACCTGTCTAGCCTTGAGATTGGAGACAAACATACGAGTGGCTTCGTAGGTGGCGTGAGGTGTCCAGCTCTCTGGTGCAGTGTAGTATAAAATCTCTTCCCAATTTCCCAATGAGGGGATAATCTTGAAAGCTTTGGGCAATTTACCAGACTTATAACGACTTAATAATTGGCCAACCCTTTACAAAAAGTGTTAGATGATGCATTGTACCATGATCAAATGGGTCCCCTCGACACATACTTTGTATATACTTCAACCACCTTGGGATTGACAGTGGGCGATAATTCGTCTTCATCCTCATTAGCCTCTCTACCTTCAGCTGCGTTCTTTTCATTGATTTTTTCCATGATTAAATCGGCCAAAGTTTTCTTTTCTCTAGGTGCACTGGGTAAAAACTTCTCCAATACATCAGCATCAGCAGCATCAATCTCTAATTCCTCGTAGTCTGCGTATTGATCAATCTCTTCAATCTCTTCCTCGTCAATGTCAAAGCCCAAAGGATAGTGTTTCTTGGCTTCAGCAGAAGTATCTCTGTGGTATGGGGTGATTAGCCGTAGTCATTGCTAGATGTGTGTATAGCTGGTACCTCTCTTCTTCATCCTCATTTTGCTTTTCGATTTGTTCTTGTTGCTCTCTTGCAATCTTCAAGATTTTCTTGGAGAGTTTAGCATCCAAGTATTCCTACATGTAGACTATCAGAAGATGCTCCAAATCAGTGGCGCTGCTGCTGCTATTACCTCGCCGGTTTCCTCAGCTCTGTTATTACGATCTATAAATTTTTGACGGGGAGCTTTTTTCAAGGTATTGTTCTCTGGCATATCAGCCAGTTGCACATGCAAAGGATCATGGCGCTGGGCACGGCTTCCCTTTTGTTTTGTGGATTCTTTACCCATAATGTATATTGCTTGTGTCTATAAAGGAAAGAAAGTAGATTTGCTTGATCAATCAAACTTGTTAATTGTCAAAAAAAAAAAAAAAAAAAGAAAAAAAAAGAGGCTTGTGAAAGGGAGAAAGAACAAGTACTGTGGTATGACAGGTGACTATTTTATCCGCTTCATGATCTATGGTGCCTTGATTTCTCAAGGCTCATTATGAGCATGTCGTGCACAAACATCTTGTTAGAAACTAGCTAGCATCTTGATTACCTGCTGTAGTGTCTAGGGGCTGATTCTTTTAAAGTAATCTGATTCCAAACAGCTAAACAACATGCTTTCAAAAAGCAGCCATGCGACATTTGATGGTAAACTATCAATGCATTGTTTACGCAGTGTTTAATCAGTTTACTGCGATTTACCACGCTCAAGAGCATATGATTTTCTACATATAACATTTTTAAGAGCCATTAACTACGTCTAATAAGCTTTGCAAAGTTTTGGAATGATGTCTTTACAATAGCCTATGCGTTCATATCCCTTGATGTCAATCAATGTGCAGTAACACTCTCAACATGTAGTCGGAAGCTCCACTGACAGACAATCAAAAGTAGCTTGTGTTCAGACAGTACTGTGCGTGGTCTAGTATTAGAATCTAGCATATGACAGCTCTATTGAGCTTGTTAACCCATCAGCATCATGCAAGTGATGCTTTGGCAGTGCAATGTCTCCAGAAATTTCTTCTGCCCTCGATCTTACACTCATACTCTAAGAATTCAATTATGCTGTAAAACATCTGGTCCTGATCTGCCATACAATGAAACCCTGAATTGCTTGTTTGCAAGCAAATTCAAATGCTAATAAGCATCAAATTCATGTTTGCATTGTGATGAACATCCTGTGACTCGAATTACTCTCGGGATCAACAGGAAATCTACCTCTCAACCTGCTGCTTCTCCATCTTAATTCGTTCTACATACATATTGCCCCTGGTTAAATAATTGATTACATGAGTAGAAGCACAGAAACCGCAAAAAGTGTCGTTATTGGATCAGGATTAACAGGTATTACTATACGCAATACAATGGTGTTTTTGAATCATCTGTTGAAATGGTTTGTGATAGCTTTGGCAGGTGCCACTACAGGTGCTACCGTTGCTGTTCTCAAGAATGCGCCCGTAAAGCAATGGACAGTATCTACAGGCTTGAATTGCGGTGTATTCGGTGCCACATTCTTCTGTGAGTTTGCATGTTTACTATACCACAAGTATTTACTGACTTTCATGTAGTGGTCCGAGAAACATTTATCACATATCAAAGACAGAAAAACTCACAATTTGGATTAAAAGACTCGCAGACCAGAGATTTTGATGATCTATTTAGCAGTGCAATGGCAGGAGCAACTACTGGAGGCTTACTATCAGCTGCTTATAGAGGGCCAAAGAGCGTAGTGTCAGGAGCAGTAATGTTTGGTGCTCTTTGTACAGGCATCCAAGCAGTTTTCACAGCAGGCAATAATTGGAGACAAGAGTCCATTCTAAAAAGTGGCAAACTGGATGGACCCACTTTCCAGCTCACAATGAAACAGAACAACATGGAGGAGGAAAAGAAGAAGGAGGGATTCAGTCTGCTCAAGTACATTAACCTGCCCTCGTGGTTTCCTATTCATCAGCTATCAGAGGACGAATACAACGAATTATTAGATACCAAATTACAGACATTAGAAGCCGAATTAGCCGAATTAGAAAAGAAATTGAATGAAAAGAAATAAACTGTATTTTTTTTATTATGATTACTCTACTTCCAAAGCTTCTTCAGACTGGTATTAGCATCAGAATCCTTCTTCATGACCTTTGCAACTGACATTTCAAAATCTTCTTGGGTGACATGGACACGACGCTCACGCAAGGCAAACATACCAGCTTCTGTACAAACAGCCTTCACTTCAGCACCACTACTTCCACTCATCTTTTCTGCAATTTTACGAAGGTTGATGCCACGAGTCAGATTCATTTTGCGAGAGTGAATCTTTAGAATATCAGCACGGGCTTCCTCGCTTGGTGGAGGAAATTCAATCTTACGATCAATACGTCCAGGACGCAGTAATGCAGGATCTAAGATATCTATACGATTGGTTGCCATGATGACCTTGATGTTTTTTGTTGCTTCAAAACCATCCAACTGATTCAATAATTCCAGCATGGTTCTTTGCACTTCAGAATCTCCACCTCCACCACTTTCCATACGAGCTGAACCAATGGAATCAATTTCATCCATAAAGATGATGGAAGGAGCGTGCTCTCTAGCCATGACAAAGAGCTCACGAACCATTCTACTACCTTCACCAATGTATTTTTGCACTAATTCTGAGCCGGATACACGAATGAAACGGCAATCGGTGTGGTGAGCGACAGCTCTTGCTAAAAGTGTCTTACCGGTACCAGGAGGACCGTACAATAAGACACCCTTAGGTTGAGCAATACCGAGTGCTTCAAAGAGTTCTGGGTGCTTTACAGGTAATTCAATCACTTCCTTGATTTCCTTGATTTGCTGGTCAAGACCACCGACCATTTCATAAGTGGAATCAGGTACTTTTTCAACCATCATGAGAGATACAAGAGGGTCGATTTTGTTGGGTAATACTTTGTGGAGTTGATACGAATCGTTGCGAAGAGCAACACGAGTTGTGGGTGTGAGTTGTGCAATGTCAATATCAGAGCCGAGATCTACGACGAACTTTCCTTCAGGATGGACCTATTCTAATGTAAATGCTATGCAGTGTTGTATGGCCAACGCATCCGTACCTTGACCAAGACCTTCTTCTTGCCCATCACCTTGACAACTTCACCAACATAAGATCCAGGTTCTTGTAACAATTGGAGCTCTTCTTTCAAAAGACGAACTAATGGGGCAACACCATGTGAGCCAACATGTCAAGATTACAGAGCAATGGCATCAAAAATTACCTTTGGCGTTTAAAGCGTTTCTCTGTGCTTCTAAACGTCTCAAATCTTGAGACTTTTCATTCATGACCAACTCGCATTCTTCGATTTTGGCTTGGTAATAGGATTTGATACCTTCTTTCTTCATTTTTGCAATTAATAGGGAGGTGTATATACGAAAAAAAAAGAAAAGGAAAGGATAAAATCAAAGCATTCTATGCCTTTTTCTAAAGAGTATTGCGCGTCAAATTCAATTCAATTCAACATACGTCACCAGGTTACATTGTAACTGATGTTCAAACGGCGTGTTACTTCACTGGCAGAGAGACAACTTCTCAGTATCTCAGAAACTAGCCGATTTATCTCGCTACGCTCAATGTCGGCGTCGCCCAGCAGGCTCTCGCCAAAGATATTCCAAATCAATTATAATAAAATTTTAGTAAATCAAGTAGATTTTGACACAACCACTTATTAGTTAGTAAAAGAAGGGTTATATCAGAATCTGGTGGCGGAGGAGAGGAGATATCTCTCACAGCATCCTTTTTGCTTATACGCTGATATCAAACGAAGCCTATTGTTGTTGAGACAATGTGAAAGAAAATCCAAGTTTATGCAGCAGTTTTACACCATAATCTCCATTCTCTGACAGTAGAGTTGTCATACCATTGGCTGCTGTTGCTGCTGCTCTCAAGTTGGCAACAAAAAGCTGGCCATGCGCAAATATAGGACTTGTGTAAGATCTCTAACGACTTTTTTGAGATATAGCCATTGCAAAAGACCCCTTTATTTATGAGGCAAAACTCCCCTAAAAATGAATTCGGGCTAATCAATTGTCCTTTCAATTCCATGATCCCCATTTAATCAGCATCGCAATCATCATTGTCATCAACAGAAAGGCATTTAGGTCAGCCAGCAGTAATGCCACTGCCAAAATTAATTCATTCTCAGTTTGTTTTTTCAGTTCAAGATTGGACAGATTTTGTCTATTTTCGACTTCTATAATTTATTTTACGGTATTCGACTATATAAACTGTGCTGATCACCCTACGCTTCTTAATACAGTCTTGAAGTACTTTTCAAGGTGCTTCCAATGGTGTTAACTGTAATAGATGTTTTGACTGAACTTATTGAGCAATTCGGTAAAATATGAAATGAGGTTTTTAGCGGAAATAGCCATATTTTGCATATGAAAACCTCGTTTAAGCTGTTTCAGAAGTTGCTTTGGATCGAAAGAAACATTTTGATTCAAGATATACCATAGTAAAAGTCTTCATTTTCAAGGTAAAAAACGCGATTGTTTGATTTTCGATGAAAACCATGAGGGGTACCTCATGGTTTTTGGGCGATTTTTGGCCATGTTTTTTGGGTTCCCAAAACGTTGAGCAAAGGTGTCAGAAAGCTACTACTACTACTCAAGTACAATTGTTTGGCGTTATTCCGGTGGCTCAGAAAGATCTACATGTCAAAAATATGAAGGCTTCAAAACTGTCCAATTTAGTTGTATTTCTGCTTTATGTCTTTTATTTACACGGCATAAATCATATTGTTGGTAGCTGAAGTCTTCTGGAAGGGCAATTCTGCAGCCTGTGCAACTTCTAATTCGAAAAGGAGGCATATTGATTCTTTTGAAGCTAATCCGTACAAATTTTGATGCGTTATATTGCTGGTAAACTTGATAATAATAGAAATGAGAAATCGAATTTGCTGCTTGAACACTATGGTTTTACACCTTGGCTTCGCTACGGTAAAACTGTCATGTAGTGATTAGCACACTGCCATGATCATGGATCACGATTGATCCAAGGGATTAAAAATCAGACTTGCCGATTGCTACTAAGGCTTCGCGTTTCAGCTTGTAACTATTGTGTGAAAATTATCTATAACTGGTCCGGGTCTGTGAATCTGACGTTTCTGGGATACTTCATATCTGGATCGATGGAAAAAAAATCATATACGGATAAGCAGCATGCAAAATACAGCGAAGCTTGGACGCATTTATTCATGACTTCTCATGTTATAAGCCATTCTAAACTGTCGGGACAGTACCAAACATTTGCTCTCGACTTACACTTACTTTCTGGCACGTTTGTTCAACTTTTTTGGAATCGTCAAAAATCGGCGAAAAAGCATGAGGTTACTCCTCATGGTTTTCATTGAAATTCAAACGATCGCATTTTTGACCCCAAAAATAAAGTCTTTTACTATGGTATATATATTAAACCAAAATGTTTCTGTCGTTTCAAAGCAACCCCCTGAACCCACATTTATAGGACCTTCATATGTAAAATCTCAACAATTTGGCCCAAAGCCTCATTTATTATGTTCAAGCATTGCTCTTTAAGCTTATTCAAACTACCTATTTTGATTAATACCATTCGATGCGCCTTATAGAGTACTATAGAAAAATATTAGTAAGTACGGGATGATTATCGCAATTCATACAATCGAAATGTGTAGAATAGATTAATCAAGTCGCAAATCAATCAGAAATAAACGATTATTACACCTTGTGAAATTCAAGTGCACTGGTCAAACAAATCTCTCGGTTTGACATGATGTAGCACACCTAACCGGATTTCGAAGCCTACAAGATTAAAAACCTTATTTCAAATCTATAGACTGCCCTGAGAGCTCATTCGTCTGATCAAACAAGGAATCTTGGTATTCAGCTATTCCCAGAATACACACACATGCCTACCTGACATGTAATACAAGCTGCGGCAGCAATCATTGTTTAAACTATTTACCTTTACAATCTTCTACATGAACCAAATGCTGCCCATGTTGTGAGATGTGACGAATATATAAGGCAAGTCTGGCTAGATTACTGTAAACATACATTCAGAGCAATCAGGAGTCAATGAAACATTAGCTGCTGTCGAGATCTACACTTTTATTATACTAGCCTGTGATGGCAACGGAATATCATTTTGGAGAGCACAAACATTTAATGGATATGCGAGAAACAGTGGGCGGAGTCCATCCATCAACTGTTTAGATTAAATTTTTTCTCTTGGTTATAAGCAACTGTGAGTCATTTCTCAATTTCTTGTGATTTCTTCCTTCTTTATCTCCCAGCATGCTCCATAAAAACCAACAAAACAATCATCGTAGCTGCAAATCCTCACTCACAATTGTGCTCAAGATTGGTACCTCATCCATCTGTAATGAAAAGACACATTTCCCATTGTTGTCCAACTTGTCAGCCTTGGTGGAGACCGTCTTGAGCTTGAGGGCCAGTGGACATCGTGTGATCCTCGTTACAAGTGCTGCTATTGGAACAGGTAAATAGTCGTTTTTTTTTTGGCCTCGATCAGACAAACAGCCAGCTCATGGATCCTCATTTGCAACACAGGTCTTCGTAGATTGAACATGGCAGATAAACCTTCCAAGTTGGCAGCTAAACAGGTAAATCAACAAGGCATGTTTCTCAAAAGCCTGTTCAGCAATTAACCATCATTGCAGGCTGTTGCTGCTGTAGGTCAAGGCCGTTTGATGGCGCTGTACGATGATTTATTTGGCCAATTCCATCAACCTGTTGCCCAACTCTTATTAACGAAAAATGATCTTGCTGATCGGTCACAATATCTGAATGCGGTCAACTGTTTGGAAGAGCTATTGGATATGGGAGTTGTACCTATTGTCAATGAAAACGATACCATTTCGACTCAAGGTGTGCGTTTCGGTGATAACGACACTTTGGCAGCAGTAATGGCTGGCATGATCAAGGCCGACTATCTCTTCTTGTTGACTGATGTCGATTGTCTCTACACGGATAATCCTCGTACTAATCCTAACGCTAAACCTGTTACTGTGTGCGACGATATGGTCAAGTTGAGAGAGCAAGGTAACTTTTTGGCGTTTGATTTCAATTGCTTGGATTATTAACCCCTTCAACTTGATACTAGTTTCGGTCGCTTCAATGGGCTCATCTCTTGGAACAGGTGGCATGGCAACCAAATTGATTGCCGCTGATCTGGCCATTGCAGCTGGTGTAACCACCATCATCACCAATGGATCCAAAACCTATAATATTGCCAAAATCATTGAAGCCGATACACAAAATAGCACCACGACTGAATTCACTGCTGATCATCCTCTGCACACTCGCTTCGCTGCTAAAAATAATCCTTTGCTGGATCGCAAATGGTGGATCCAATACGGTTTGCATACAGCAGGCACCATCTATGTGGACGAAGGAGCAGCCAAAGCCATGTTGACTCCTCGTTTAAAGAGCAGTTTGTTTGCTGCTGGTATCATTCAGGTCGAAGGTCAATTTGTAGCACAACAAGCAGTTGCCATTACTCTTCGTAAAAAGACAGCAGACGGCAAATTTGAAGACACTGTTATCGGAAAGGGTCTGGCCAACTATTCCAGCATTGAAATCAATCGCATCAAGCGCTGCCGTAGTACAGAAATTCCCAATATCTTGGGCTATGTCGATGCGGATTGTGTAATTCATCGCGATAATCTCGTTAGAACCATTGATGAAATTTAAAGAACTAGCCCTTATCATTTGTAATTTTATTCATACTATTAAAAGCTCATTAGCTTCTTTAATTCATAAAGTCGTCTATGTAGTTCCTCCTTGTCATTTTCACTCTGTGCATAGCGTATCTTGATGTCAATCAGGACAGATTCTGCTTTCTGTAACTGATCTTCCAGCGTAGAGTTATGGCCAATCAATGAAGCGTTTTCACTGCATAACCCTTCGAACTGGTTTTTGGTCTTTGATTCAATTTTTTCTGGCAGTTCAGCAACAGCTTTGTCCAGCGAAGCTACCAGTGTTTTCAGCGAAGAGCCTTCATCTTTGAGTGTGTTGAGCTCTCGCAAGGTATCTTGTAACTGATTATCGACATCCTTATGTTCTTGTTTGAGTGTCTTCTTCTTTGCTTCGAGTGCTTTCAGTTGCTTTTTCATTTCGAGATTTGATTTCTGTAGTTCTTCAATGATACTGGCATCTGCTAGCTCCTTCTGTATCAGGGCTTTATGCTCTTTCTCTAGTTGCGACAATCTCTTTGCTGGGAACTCCAATTCGCAAGCATCACTGACAAAGCGACGGTCATCATCCTGGTGGGATTGAAGTAAGCAAATGAACCTTTCATGCAAATGCCTGTGCTCACCTTGTATTCTTCAAACAACCCGTTCTTTAGAAAGTCTAGCAAGTGTTCAAAATCAAAGCCGAGGATGGTTGTTTGGTTTCTCTTTAGCAACGCAATGGCAAACTTGAAGATGGAACTAATGCCTTCGGTGAAAATGACATCGTATATACGATAGACAAGATTCAGAGGGAACTTGTAAGCAAAGAGCGTCATAAACCACTGCGAGGCATACATTGTTGAATTGATGCCTTGTTGCTTTAAATGACGAGCTACATGTGGAAGATGCTCTTGGACCAGCGCATCAAATTGGTATAAGCGCAACTGAAGTCCATCCATATCGGGTGTGAAGTGTCCTCGTAGACCATACTTGTTCATCAGTTGAATGAGCACACAAAATGCGTCCTCGTCCGGCATCTATGTTTGATATTGTCAGTAAGTAATGCTGAATAAATCAACAACTACTTACATTTAATAGCATCGGTCCCACAATGAACGCTAAACCTTGGCAGTAACCAACTTCCTTGTCATATAAGCTATAAGCTCTAACAACATTATAGAGACCCTCTTGGCCCTGTCCGTCAGTCTCTTTAAAGTAAGTATGTCCTGGAAATGTACGAGCCAAATCGCGCTGGATCATTTTGTCATACGGGCTTGGCAGCTTCAGCAAATCCATGTATTTTGTAACCAACTCTTCGTTCTTTGACTTGGCCAGTAATTGCCAAACCATACCACGAATAGAAGGTGGGATGCCAAATCGAATGTGTTTAATTAGATCTTTATTGACCTTGTTGAGGTTCTGAAAGTCGCACATGACGCCGGCCCAAAAGTCTGGAAAGGTGTGTATAAGTAAATCTCATGTGCATACTGGTTGCAAAGCTGTCTTACCCCAATCGTAGCCGTCGCCTTTGTTTTGAGACACGAGGCTATGGCGTATAGATTGTCTTTTGAGATTCTTGATAACTTTGGATTTAGGATCGTTGGTGTTGGAGACGTTGAGCTGCTCCATTTGTGCTAATAAAGCTTCTTGGAAGCCGGGCAAAGGTGAGATAATGCTGGTAGGCCTTGACAATCTGGTTTGTCTAGCTGCAAATGATGCTGAGGGTCGAGGAGCTGCAGGTGTGGTATTGATAATAGGAACAGTATTCTGTTTGGATGGCCTTCTGGACGATGCAGGCGATGTGTTTGCGGAAGAGGAGGAGCGAAATGGTGACCAAAGGGCGAATATAGAACGGGTTGTCGATGTACTGGCAATGGACTCATTGTCAATGCTGTCTCTTTGAGATGAAGGAGGTGATGGCGCTTGAGACAATGGAGATATCGCTGATTCATAGATGACATCTTTCGGAGGAGGTGGTGGAGCGGATGTTTGAAGGCGGGTGGGTACAGGGACAGCGGTAATTTGTGGTTTCTCGCCACTCACAAGAGCAGATGTGATGATTTTCAGTGGATTGTATTCCTCTTTCTCTTCTTCACTGGGTAATGAAGATGGTTGCTGATCATTTAATGAAATGTCGTTCATATCAGATAGTGATGAAATGGTAGACATTGATTGGCGAGATTCTGATTGAGAGGGAGGACGATCCACAATAGGAGAAGATGTTGTTGTTGCATCCTGTTCCTCTTTTTCCTCTTGAATCACTTCTTTCTTGTCGCTTGGTAATTTAATGGGTGGTGTGAGGATGGTATCTTCTGAATATGTGCGCAATGGCTTCTCAAAATAAGAGGTGGAATCGATGGATGATGCTACAGATGAGGAATCATCATCTTCAGCAAGTGGTGTTGAGGTTGCTACAATAACTGAGTCTAATTTATAGTTATTAAATCTAATATTAAATCTTTGATTTCTATACTATATTTACTGTCTGATTCAGTGATAGATTGCTTGTTATTGGCCTTTGCTTTCAAAACAATGGAGTCCGTACCATGAAACTCATATTCGTCTGTGGAATCATCAGAGTAAAAATTGATGCTTTCTTGCTGTTCCGGCAGGAATTCCTTTTGCAAAATTGCATCGTTTGCCGAATCGATTACTTTTGTCATTGAATGTGAGATTGTACAACGTGTAAAGCCAGAGAGAAAGAGGAAGAGGGAGGAAAAACAAAAGAGTAAGAGAGAAAGAAGCAAGAAATTAGTCAAGATACACGAAGGAGGTACAACAATTTATTAGATTTCTGCCCTGCGAAATTGCTTAAATATGTTGATTCGAAGAGGCGACATTTACTTGCCGCGATTGCCCAAAATTGATTTTTTTTTTCGATTTTTAATCGGAAGTGATAGTTAGTAAGGGGTGTCAAGATTGGACAGATTTTGTCTATTTTCGACTTCTATAATTTATTTTACGATATTCGACTATATAAACTGTGCTGATCACCCTACGCTTCTTAATACAGTCTTGAAGTACTTTTCAAGGTGCTTCCAATGGTGTTAACTGTAATAGATGTTTTTACTGAACTTATTGAGCAATTCGGTAAAATATGAAATGAGGTTTTTAGCGGAAATAGCCATATTTTGCATATGAAAACCTCGTTTAAGCTGTTTCAGAAGTTGCTTTGGATCGAAAGAAACATTTTGATTCAAGATATACCATAGTAAAAGTCTTCATTTTCAAGGTAAAAAACGCGATTGCTTGATTTTCGATGAAAACCATGAGGGGTACCTCATGGTTTTTGTGCGGTTTTTGGCCATGTTTTTTGGGTTCCCAAAACGTTGAGCAAAGGTGTCAGGAAGTTACTACTACTCAAATACAATTGTTTGGCGTTATTCCGGTGGCTCAGAAAGATCTACATGTCAAGATATGAAGGCTTCAAAACTGTCCAATTTAGTTGTATTTCTGCTTTATGTCTTTTATTTACACGGCATAAATCATATCTTTGGTAGCTGAAGTCTTCTGGAAAGGCAATTCTGCAGCCTGTGCAACTTCTAATTCGAAAAGGAGGCATATTGATTCTTTTGAAGCTAATTCGTACAAATTTTGATGCGTTATATTGCTGGTAAACTTGATAATAATAGAAATGAGAAATCGAATTTGCTGCTTGAACACTATGGTTTTACACCTTTGCTTCGCTACAATCAAGCCCTCATACAGATCAATGTTGTCAAATGTTGGATTAGAATCCTTATTACCATGGCTTTGCACCTTTGCTTCGCTACGGTAAAACTGCCTCACAGGTCCATGTTACCAAATGTTGTACTATCTTAGATGCAATCATACATCTGTGGAAGTGGTTAAAGTGCCTCATCAATGCTTTAAGAAGTGGAAGAAATCAAGGCGAAATCGTCCATTCAACGAAACATTGCTATCCGCTTAGTATGTACCTGACTCTCTAGCCTAACAACTGAAAGTATTTCTCAACTACTCTCTTTTCCTATAGATCGATATGAATCCACTGTTGAAAAATGTGGTCGAGGATCCCATTCCTTGTCAGATGGTACCATTTGCAGATTTTGTGCCTGACCTGTTGATGAAGTTCAACTATTTTTCTTCCTCAGCCATTGAATTACCTCGACTCAACTCATGTGCGCAAGCATTATCGCTAAATGGCACATGTTACTCGCTTTAGAACAGCAGAATTTACACAACATCGATGCAGACATTTGGAACGATGTTATGCAAGTTTATAGAAGATTATATATTGAGATTTATGAGTTTAGTCAAGAGGAGATTGTGTCATATATAATTCAGGATTTCGAGTGGGCTTGCACTCAGAACGAACATACAGGCGACATTTTAAAAGAGCTTTTGAAGAATGAGGTAGTTCTTTCAGAGGACTCATTTACTATCAATATCTTTGACCCAATCTCGAACCCATTTTTCATCCACATAGCCAATTCAGTACAGATTAACCTCGATATCTCCCAAGCACCATGCCGACGATTACTGTTAGAGCATTGCAATGTTCTTACTGTCCATGGCACTACGAAAATGATGTTTCTTGTTCAAGCAGTACTCTTCTACTGACTATAGTTGAATAAACTAAGCTTGTTGAGTTTTTCTCTCTAGTCGACTTTATAATATACACATCAAAAAGGTTTATTTTACTAGGATACAATAGCTACACACGTTTGCGCGACACAGCGGATGCTCAAATCTAGTAATTTAGCTAGCAGATGGCTTCCATGTTTAAAATGATCTTCTTTCTGCTCATCCCATCGTATTTGCAGAGTCAAATCATCTATACTCAATACAACATTGAATAGACGACAATTAGGAAGCACAATGCAGCACTACTTACTATTACTGCTTGCTTTGAGTACATTGGCTGCCTCGATACATGCAGCCGACATAAAGATGTTCTGTAAATGCTTTTGTGGGTCAAACTCTACAGTGTTCGAGCTCCCATTGCTTGATCCAAAACCTTGCGGCAACTGTACAAAGCAATTCTGTTTGGATAATGTCAAAGATGGCATGTGTGATGGCATTGCAGATGCAACATGTCCTAGTAACGATTTTAAAACAGCCTGCTTTGGTAACTATTTTCCAACGCATGTCGAGCCAAAACGCTAACCATGTATACAGCACGCGATTCTTATAAAGACGAAATCATTGTTCGATCATTTTTAATTATCACTATTGGCCTGATCCTCTTTTCGATCATAAAGCCATTTGTTGACAAGTGGCAAAAGGTATTTTATTTCCAAGTATTATAGATTCATGGATGCTGATATCAATGGAATGCTTAGGAACGTGCTACCAGACAGCAATATAGCACTGTTTCAGCTGTTGAGCAATAGATGATACATCACCGCATACATTTTCACTACTACCACTGTATATATCTATATATTTAATTCACAAGAATAAATCTCGAAAAGTCGACAACAGAATCCACACCAGATGTTTGGCTTCATCTGGTAGTATTCCCGATATTCGACCAAACGAAGCATCCAAAAAGTTGCGAAATCTTCAAAAGTCCTATTGTAAAGCAAGGGCAATCATCATTGAGTGATGGCGCCTACATCCTCGTCACGTACTCATATTCGTAATCGCTATGATGGTGAGGTTGCTTGGAGCAAGCTTGTTGGTCACCAAGAAATGTGACAGATCTGTTAGCTAAATGCTTTGGGGATGTGAAGTGGGCTTTCGAGCTTTCGAATCTGCTGTGAGAAACCATGGAACATGTTTAATTTTGAGCTTTGATCTAATAATGAAGGGCTGTATTCCTAGAGTACTGGCAATCATACTCTAGATATACATCTATCTGTATCCTTTGCATGCTGATACACGGCAACACTGTTGGATATAATCACAAGCTTGGTGAAATACTTTTAGTGATTGAGAGGCCATATCAATTACGCATAAATCGCGGGGTTGCAGCTCGAAATGGACATGATGTAAGGAAGGAAACTTCTAAAATCTTCCAGCAAAAAATGAACCCGAGCCACTTTTTTCGTTATAAAGAGCCACTTTTTTTTTTCTTTCATCATTATACTCTTTTCAGCACTAGAGACATACCCTAAATATGTTTGGCTGTATCGCTGCTGGCCGCTTAGTAAGTATTTAAGATTACTTGGCATGTTAGTCTCTTGTCTAGGCACTAACATGATCCTGTAGGTACAAACAAACTTACAGCAAGTGGATGTGAATAAATACGTTTTTGAATTAGCTGATGCACAAGCCATCAACCACATCACTGTCTTCTTGTTAGGCACGATTCCATTCGAGCCTGGATTTGCTGCTACAGTGCACTTACTGTGGCCAAATAAAGATTGGCAATTGCTGGGAGGGTAAGCTGCTGAACTTAGCAACGATAATTGCTTTGATATCCAAATCACTCACATCACATTGTATCACATTATAGATTATCCAACGAAAAGCCAAGTGCCATCTTTAGAATTAAAACAAAGGAATCAGCCATCAACAGCATGCAAATGTCTACATCAGCAACCCTCGGCATTTCCATAGAGCCCATTCAAGTGGTCGAACAAGAACTATCCACCATCAACCAACCCCTTACATCATCTGCATTAGTCAAGCCTGGCGTCAATGTGTCTCAAGTGGGTCAAATGGCAGGACGCGTATTAGAAAACTTGTATAATTACTGTACATCATTTGCAACACACAATTTACCACCCAACGCCATACCACTGGGCCAATTGACAGAGAATGGTTATTTACCTCTCAAGACCTTCCAAACCTGGTACGAGAATCTGTCAAGGAAGTTGGCGTCCAACCCAAATTATTTGATAGAGGATAAATCAGCCTAATAAAACCTAGTTTATTTGCTTTACCAATTCACATATATCTCGCCCTAATGCCAGCACTTTGCTGCTGTTGATCACTTTGGATGTCTTTTTCTCTTCAATCACATGCTGAATGTCTAATGCAGAGAGCAGATCAGCGACTGAGGATCTATCTTGAGGTGCCAGGAATAAGAATTTACTCATGGCCGCCAAAAGACGATGAACTAGGTAGCATAGTGTCAATATTTAGCATACTTGTCGCACATGGCATGAAGTGCACTTACTAATCTCTTCATCCATCTCCTTGATCAATGCGTCCATTACAGCACTGGATAGCTCGACTTCCCAATCATCGTCCTCTTGCTCAGCCATACCTGAGAACGTGCCCTTTTCCTTTTCCAACCTCTCGACTGCAATGCAAGTGGAGCAGTTGTATGCTAAAGAGGCTGCTGCCTGTCTGACTTGAGCATCTGAGGCCAATAGGCTTGTAACCAAGAGTTGTGTAAGCTGAGAACGATGCGATGCCGCAAGATTTGAAGTGAATTGTGTGGTGGATAATGTTGTGTTGGCGAATAGATTACAAGCAATTCTCAAAATCATAAGCCATGTTGCTTTGGCAGGTGTTTCGTTCTGGGATGCGATTTCCAAAATGCTTGCGATTTGAGAAGCTACAACATGATGTGAGTCATCCGTATCCACTGTGTAATGCTGGTTACTTACGATCATTCACGTAGAAATCAGAGACAGTCTTTGATAGCAATAAAGACCTATAGATATCAAACAAAGGGAAGAGTTGATCCACTGTCAGCTTTTGCAACAATACATCTACAAGAATCGCAATTGAGTCTCTTGATAGCGTCACTCTCCTCTGTATGTATAGCTTACCAACCAACAGCTTCCATTGACCAGCATTCAAGTTGGTATCCTTCTTTTCCAGAAAAGCCTTGGATTGATCCAGCACGCTCTTTTGATCCGCATCCAAAGTGATACTTTGTGTCTCCAAAAACGAGTGCAATTTAGTGTAGATCATCTCCCATTTTCCTGGTGTAGAGTACAAGATAGGCACATTGGGTTGATCCACCACAGCTCTAAGCAGAATTTTTCTATGCGGATGAGCTATTTTAAAAGGTTCGGTCAATCCATCGCTCTTTCTCCCGCTCCCAAAACCAACAACTTACGAGGAAATGCTTCAAACAGCAAGATATCCACTTGGCTTTTCAACTCTGCATAGTTTGCACCCTTGAATTCTGAATACTTTTGTCCATTCAAAAACAACTGGAAAGTAGGTGTAGCACGAATACCGTATTTCGCTGCATCGGGTGCCATGGAGGTATCCATTATAACGCCCAATATTTTGATCTTCTCACTATCGCCATTCTTTTCTCGGATCAAGTTTTCGAAATCAGGCTTAATCATACGACATGGAGGACATGATGCTGATGTAAAGAACACAATAACTGCTTTGTAGGCCGAGATAAAGCCGTCTACTGCAGTTGCTGTGTTGGCAATTTGTACTGGATTCACTGTTGTTGGTGCCGCAGATATCGCAGCAGAAGAGATGCCTTGCAACATGGATGCTGCTTCTGCTGATGGTTGCTGTGGTGCTACTGCGTTGCCGCTACTGCTGCTCAGCTTGGATTGCCCAAACATTCCCTCTATCATGGGTAAGATTGACTGCCCAAAAGGTCTAGCATGGTATTAGGTCATGGCACACCTCTCATCCACAGCTGCACTTACGTGTTGAGGAATTCAGCAGGCAGATCACTGATATGGCTAGGTATAGTTTTGCCGACCAAGAACTGGCAAAGGTCGTTTGAAAATGTATTGCAATTGAAGTCTAACAAGTGATACTTTTCGGCACTATGAAGATAGAGTGGGTGAGGACACGCAAGCCTGAATCGCATTGAATCATGGCTTACCTATAGACTGAGCGAAGACTATCGATATATTCGACAACAACTTCCAATGGCAAGAATGTCTGGCCCATGTCCACAATTTCTAAAGGACGTCCATGTTGTGTTGTTCCAGGAATTGAGGTCATGATGCCCTGACCAAAGTAGAACTCTTGACCAAATACGACTACGGAAGTGTGCCAAATACCATCAATTTGCTTGCCTGTCAGTTGTCTGGACATGGAACGAGCCATGCCCTGAGATAGATCATAAACGTAGAGTTTCACAGATTCAGACATGTGTGATTAATGAAAAAGAAAAAGAAAGATAAAAGCAAAAGAAAAGCAATGTTTTATACGACTTAAGAAGTTGATTTTTCTAGTAATTTCGCTTCCACGTAATTTTACTGTTTCGTCGTAGCTGGGATTTCTATATTGAGGCAAGACGGGGGATTGCGTATCATCTTTCAAATGACACTCTCTATTCAGGGCATCATGGATTCTGCTTGTGGCTGCCACGTATCACACTTGCTATGGCGGTGTCTTTAGGATTAGCTAGGCGAACCATTCATTAAATTAAAGCATGAGTTTATGCACATTTGCACTGCAAAAGCCAATTCTCAAATTGTATGTATCTTGTACGACCAGATTGATATTTGCTGCCCCTTGAATTCATACAAATAAAAAGAGACTCGCCAGCCTTCTTTTTCATCATTCTTTGTTTCACTAAAAATGGAAGCATTTTTAACAACATTACCACCGTACGTCCATGAATTTCTGGACAGATATCCCCCCACAGATGTCTTCAACTTGCTGAGAGAGCTGATTTGCTTTGCTGTGCTGTATTCTGAAGATCGTGATAAACTAAATCAGTCGACAAGCGACTTTTTAAAGAAAAGACAGCAATCAGAAAATGTAAGTATAAACGAACTCACGCAACAGGTCAACTGCGCACTCATCCAGAGTGAATAGAAGGACCAACATGAGTTTGAAAACGACGACATTACTCAGAAGGAGGAGGAAGAGGAGGAGGATGTCACTGTACCTGTAGAAAAGCGCATTGATCCCATAGCAGAAGAGTCCGAGCATGAAATACAAGCACTCAAAGCCAAACCTCTCTACAACATTCGAACAGGAGAAACCATACAAACTGACAAGTCCAACATGCCGAATACATTTCCAGAGTGGTGGGGACATCGTGAATCAGAGCCACATAAAGTAGAGCGCAAAGAAACGACCATTCAGCACGGTGAACATGAAGACAAGACATTGCCTCAGAGCTTTGGCACTTCGTGGATATCATGTAAGTGGAGCAAAAGACTCACGGCCCAGTCTATACTGATATGTCATGTCATTCAGGGGAGAATCAGCAACCTACTTCCACGCCAACAACGACACATCATCGTATGGAAAGAGCAAGAAGGTGAGGACACATTGTACGGCGTTGCAAGCCACCATTGAACAATGAACATATAGCCAGATTATACCAGACCTACGATCCTATCTCGTTGAAGATTCCAAACTAACCCCATCTCGCACTGCACCTTCCTCCAACTCATCCTCGGCGGCAGCGAGCAGCAAGAAGAAATGCTCATTAAATACCACCCATACGAAAGCGATAGCCGCAGGGTCACCTCCCAATGTATCCAACTCCAAGGCAGTGGTGGCTAAACCAAAGCGCCGTACATCATGTAAGGAGTTTGATTCAGTCTGACATCTATAAACGCTCATCCTCTCCATTTCTTAGCACCACCTGTCTGTGATTCTCCTGTAGCAACGGTCGCTCCAGCCCCACCGTCGTCCAAATTCGTTCAAACAGCTGCGAAACAACAACAATTACGTCAAAATAAAACCGCATCACCTTCATCTTCAGGCACATCGACCGCGCCACCCACTCGATCCGCATCTGTCATTTTGAAACAGCCCAGACAAAATGCAGCGATGCGAGCCAGAGCTGAACATGCTCGCCAGCAACAGGAGGAACTGGAGAGGAAAAAGAACGCACCTGCTATTGGATCATCGACCAGTTTGAGGCTGAAGCAAAGAGTGAATTCAGGCATAGATTGGGAGTCTATTAAACGAGATCGAAGAAAGACGGTAGCGGAAGCCCCCTCTTCTTCTGCTTCTAGTAAAGAATGACGAGCTTCTGGAACATGTTTAGAATAAAAAGAACTGCAACATGATTTGATAGAATGGGGGGGAAAAAAAAAGGCCGCCAACATTGGCAATGATGTAGTGGGGTGATAATGGCATGATATTATTAGATGTTCAGTTTGGCAGTGATGAAAGAGGATACTCTGTTTACATAAATTCCGTGGATTTCCGTTCTTCTTCTTTTCTCTTTCTTTTTTTTTTCTTTCCTTTTTCAACATTTTATCTCAAGCAAAATGTCAAAGGCAAACCTCAGTCTTACAAGTTGGTTACAGCACATCAAGCATCACCATGACAAGAGACCGTCTGTCACCATTGTCACTCCCAATGAACAAAAGTATGTAGTCAGTGATCCGGTCATCATGGAGGAACACGAGCATCAGGGCAAGCCCATTGTGATAGCCAATGTAGAGCCCCCAGTGGCTGCTCGTGCCAGTGCCGATGCCAACAGTGTCAATGACGATGACAAGTCTTCCACCAAGAGCAAGCCTGCTTCCATCTTCTCACTGAATGGTGCTCGCAAGTTCAAAAACAACTTGATTCACTTCCACAGACCTCACGGGCTTCTGTTCCAGAACCACGCAAACCAGGCGGATCATGATCATCAACACCGCGAAAACGAAGAAGACCAGCAGCGCCAGGGCAGCGAGAATTCGACAGATTCACATAGCAGCTGCTGTGCCTGTTGCAACACCAATGGCACTTCTACTAATGATGCGGATGATGAGCACGAGGAGCCAGAGAAAGCAGAGAACGACAGTGTCCGTTCAAAGGACTGGACCAAGCACCCGCCTTGTCTATGCAATACACACATTAGTGAGGCAGTGGAGCAGAGCAACGGTGATGATGGTGCTAGTACGCATAGTCTTACAGGTGCCAGTCGAGAAAATTCAGTCTTTTCACTCCCTGAGGACATTGACAAGCCTGAGGTGGGATTCAAGAAGCTCAGAAAAGACGGTGACATGATCGATTGGGATGAATTGAGCACGTTCATGGAGGAGCGTGATGAAGATTACGATGAAACCAATCAGCCGTTAACAGAATATGCAAAATCAAGGTTGTTTACACGATCTGTGATACGTAATGACTTGGTTCGACTTGCCTTGAATGGGTAAATATGCTTAGCGAGATCTAATGTGAGAGCAAATGCATTGACATCATTCAATATATAGGCCTTTTCAAAGCCCCATCCCTACCGATTCAAAGAAGCATGTATTGCATGTTGGTTGTGGAGATGGTTCCTGGTGCACAGATACAGCCAAATTATTCCCCAACTGGCTCGTAGTGGGTATGGATGACACGACAGGTGGTTACTCTCCTGATCAACGAAAAGTGCCTAAAAACTTCAAATACATTCGATGCTATTACGACATTCTCAAGACACTCAAAGACATCCCCGCAGATTCATTCGACTTTATCTATGCTCGGTTTTTATTGGATGCGTACGGCGATGATTGTTATCAAGAGTTGGTGCAAGAGTGTCATCGTATCTGCAAACCAGAGGGTTATCTCGAACTCTACGAATTAGATATGAGAATCTATGGCAATCCCAAGGCTGGACCTGTGACGCATAGACTCAATGCCAAAGGTAAGGCTTTTGCTATCATCAAGTGTGTGCAGAGATGCTGTTGTATTCACACATTGGCCATCTAGTTTTTCAAACCATGGAAACACACAATTTAAACCCAAGATTAGCTCGAAAAATAGGAGATATAACGTCTGATATATTTGATACTCACAGACAAGAACCGTTAGATCAAGATACAGATCAAATTAGAAGCAAAAAGAAAAAGCACTACAGTTCAAATTACACATCGCTACCATTGGGTGTATGGGGTGGACGATTGGGCGTCATGTTTAGAGATAGCATCAATGATTTGTTTACGGATTTCTGTCTACATGACGACCAAAATACAGAGGCCAGTGATAATGAAAGTATCAGTAGCTTTAGTGATACTATTTCCTACAATGAGGATATAGAGGCCATGAATAGAGAAATGGATTCACAAAAGGCATTCATGAACATGCACCATGTCTATGCTAGAAAATGCTCAGCTGCCACTGCTAAATAAATGATACTATACTACAGTTCCATTTACTTTATTTGGCTTGATGTTTCATCATCATGTAGTGTATTGTTGTACCTTTGGTGCCTGTTAACTACCACGCTCACGTGCTCGACATGTCAATTATCTCACATCACATGCTGATGGATTACTGTCAATGCTATCTGGACTACAAATTTCGATTCAACATCACTCAGCATATATCCATCTTTGAACCGACCCTGCGATTTATTGGTGTCATCCTAGCTTTTTCTTTCTTTTACTATACATAAAATGAAATCTTACACTATTGAACAAGTCGCTCAACACAACACTGCCAAAGATATTTGGATCATTGTTGATGGGAAAGTCTTTGATTTGACTGAATTTATCAATGAGCACCCAGGCGGTAAGAAGGTCCTCACCAAGATGGCAGGAAAGGACGCTACCAAGCAATTCAACACATTCCACAACGATGCCATCATGCAAAGAGTTGGTCTTCCTATGCAAATTGGCGTCATTGGTGATGCTGATACCAAAGGTAAGTTGATGTGATGACTGATGAGAGCGTTTTCACTGAGTAAAATCCGTCATAGCAACCAAATCAAAGTTGTAAACCCACTCTTCCATTCAATAAACTATTTATTTATTCCTCTACCAAAGTGTTTTTTTCGAGAAATACAAGGCTATCATATCATAATATAAAGATCGCTTCATTATATACCATATCGCTGCAATGCTCCTTTCAATGCGGATTTAGCAAGAGGGATAGACACTTCCGTGGCGTACTGTTTAAGTGATTCAGTCTTTTCTTTTGTTGTAAGAGATCCTATGGAGCATTAAAAGACTAAGCGATCTAGTTATATCTACATCTAATAGACTTGGTAAATACCTGGCAAAGTGGGCCGCTCCATTGGTATATTTCCTTCTGGTAAACACAATACAGTTTCAGCTAAAATCGAGGCTTTTGTCAGACGTCGGCTTTCTCTCGTTATAGTTTACTCACTATTTTTTGTATCGTCCGCCATCAGTTGCAATGCTCCCTCGACTACTACACTCATGGGCGTAAACTCAAATGTATAGATAAGCTTGCGAAGAGACGTGTTCGTCTCTGTTTCATTCTTCTGCTGGGTGCTCACCAGATCAGTGTCTACACGATAGGTATTGATATTTAATCTCTAGCCATGAGACTCAAATAAAAGCCAGACTTACCAACATAGAAGGGACAGATAGCATTGACGCGCACATTGCAAATGTATGGCATCAATGTAAAGGATCGAGTATATCCAATCACGCCATGTTTGGAAGCATTGTAACTTGCTAAAGAGCTATTCTCTGCGGTCAGTAGATCATTCATCACATAGATCTCTATCTAGCTCCACTTACGGTGAAGCTACAATTCCTGCAACTGAGGCTACATGTATAATGCTTCCTCCCCCTCTCTTTGCCATATGCAAAAGAGCAACCTTGGTCCCTTTGATGACAGCAGTAGTATTCACATCAATGATTTTCTCTTCCAGATCGTCGTCCATTTCACTGAAATAAGAATTGGAGTTGAGTGCAATTCCAGCATTCAGAACAGCATGCTGTACAATATATCATTAGCTTATGTATTCCTCTGCTCTACCAGTTTGAACCAACATCAACGCCACCGAATTCACTTTCTGCCAGCTTAAACAAGTCTTGATTATCCTTGTATTTTGTAACATCAGTGCGGAGGAAGGCTGCTACCTTTGATTTAGCTCTGCGGTATAGATACATTAGTCCCAGTATGAGCATTGATGGATGTGTACGTACTCGCTATTATACGCATCGACAACAGCCTGCCCTTCTTTCTCCAAAAGGTCTCCAATGACAACGTGTGCTCCATTTGCAACAAGTGCATCGGCAACTGCTTTACCAATACCACGGCTGGCACCTGTAAGCACGACAACCTTGCCGTTGAAGTTTTCATATCTGGATGAATGTGTCATTACGTGGAAGCTACAAAAGGTGGAAAGTGTAAAGAAAAAGAGGGGGGGAGGAGAAAAATAACTCTATGCGCTTATTTATGCTATCGAGATGTGTTCATGATAAATGAATGTAAACAAAACGGCTCTTATCAGTGTGGGCCATGCAAGGGTTACATGCGTTAATTCGTATAATAGAGATGGATAGGGAGATGAAAGGGTTTATTAAGTTTCCAATTTCAACAAGTGCAAAGTGCGTTTTTGCATCTCTTTATCTATATCTACATCTATGTTTATCTATTGTTTGTTGTTACGCTGTTGCTGTGGCTGCAGAGAGGCAGGGTAGGAGGACGCACCAGGAGTACCGGTGTTGAAATCTTGATCACAGCGATCAAATGTGTGTTGAATCTTGGGTAAGAGTGCTCTTCGCCATTGGTCTTTACAAGCTTTACCTGATCGACCCACTTGCTTGCCAATTTGACTCCAATGAAAGCTTGTCATGTCATCCAAGTTTTTGTAAGTAATCACGGCTTTCAATAAAGATTCACGCATTTCAGCTGTCCAGCGAGGCTTTTCTTTGACGTATTTACCTTTCTTGTTGCGGGTGTGGCTGCTGCTGCCATTGCTGTCGTGATGATGGTGGTTGGAGCTGCCGCTGTTGCTGCTATGACCACTGTGTTTTTTTAATTTACTGGCACCTTGAAACTCGGGATCACTGTCGTCTCCTTCTTCAAAATACTCATCGTCTTCCTCGTCATCTTCTTCCAATCCATACATTTCTTCATCTTCATCTTCCTCAGCTTCTGTAGTCAAGACAGTTTCAGAGGTCGTGGATGGTGAAATGGTAATGGCACGCTGCTCTTGTTGTGGCTGCCGTTGTGTGAATGGTTGACAATGAGGCAGTGATTCCTGCTGAGCTATCTCTTCTCTAGTTTGGCGAGATGACTCCATGCTTTGATGCATGGCTTGTTGATGTTGCTGTAAGTGATAGCGGTGCTGCTGGTTTGCATGTTGCTGCTTGAAATGCTGATTGACCTGGTGAACAGCTTGTTTGTGAGCTTGCTGGTGTTGGCGGTGAGCTTGCTGTTGAATGGCCTCTCTTTGGTTGTACACTTGATGAGTAATGTTGGTAGTAGGATGGCAAAAGGTAACTGGATTCAATGACGTTTTGCTGCGTGACATCCCCTGTTGATCCAAATTACATGGAGCTGCTTGTATATTGGATTTTCGAGAGCAAACGGCTGCAAGTCGTTGTTGTTTTTGATGTGCCATTTGCTGCTGGGACGAGCTTCTATCGGTAGCCTGATGTTGACGAGAAGGAATAGATGGTGTAGGTTGTTGATCCGGATGCAAGGTACTGCGTTGGATATGAATTCCATTGCCACGGATAGAGAAAGAAGTTTGCATAGATGTTGGATCATTTGCTCTGGCTGGCCTACTGCTTTTGTTGCTGTTTGATTCTGGCCAAGGCTGATTGTTATGACGATCCTCTAACGCACGCACATAGTGATTCATAATAGGTTGTTGCTGATTATTGATTGGAGAGGGCTGCTGATGCTGATGCTGCTGTTGTTGAGGATAACCAAAAGTTTGAGCTCTAGCATGAGCCAAGTAATAAGCCTGAGCATGAACATGAGCAAAGGCCTGAGCTGGAGTCAGTTGGGGAAGCCGATGAGGAAGGCGAGATTGAAATGAAGGCCCTTGATGTGAGTGATGGACCTGATAGACTGAACGGTACTGTGCCTGGAATAACTTCAATTGCTTCCTGGAAGGTAGTTGAGCTTGCCTTTGTGGGAAAGGGCGGTCATTCTGGATAGCAGACTCTCGACGCAATTCTTTATCTTCTTTATGGACCAGCGAGCCAAAGGCAGGCAAAGAGCGACTCAAAGAGGATCTGACAGCTGATTCTCTCTGTCTGTAAATGGATGGCAGCATGATCAATTCATAGCCAGGAGGATGAGGCGCTTGCTGAGAAAATGGACTGATAGTGGCAGACGCATCACGGGGATATTGTTGAGGGTTGATATAATGAGAAGTAGTAGTAGCAGGATGATTTGGCTCAATAGGTGACTTTGCTGGAGAGTTTATGCCGCTGTTGGGTTGCATAGTGTTGTCGTTGCTGGAGAAGATTTGCTGAAGTTCAACAAGACTGTTGGCAGCATCTTGCTCTTTCTGGGTTCTGGACATGGTAGGGGGAGTGTTGGGTGAAAGTGCAGATGAATTAAACATTGAAAGAGGGGGGAAAAAAAGAACGATTAAAGACTGACCAACGTTTTGAAAACAGAGCAAGTATATATATACACCATTAGATAGATTGATGCCAATGTTATGAATGAATACAAGGATAATGAATCTCAAATTACATTGTACAATAAGGAATCCTCCATTGCGAATGGTAGTCATTATTAGAAAAAAAAAAAAAAAAAAAAAAAAAAAAAAAAAAAAAAAAGAGGGGCTATTTGTCTATGAAGGGCTTCATGCTGTAACATGGTTGGTGAGGCGCATAATATTAAATGTTAGACATACTGTCATAACAAAGATACCATAGGAAGCTAATAATACAGCAATAATCTTGCCTGGTTTCCAGGAATCATTTTCATGTATCTTGTAGTAAAACAAGCCTGGCAATATGAATGAGATGGTGGTCGATCCAGTAGATCCAACGAAAGACAAGACCTAATTGAACAAGCATGAATGAGTCTTTTTCATGGTTTTGTATGGTGCCCTGTTCTAGAGTGCTCTTACCAGATCCAGCTCGGTTACGGTGATGGCGACAATATAGCTCAGGATCAATATGGACGTTGTCATGGCAAAGTATTTAAAAGCAGATGGTGGTGGTGGTACTTTGGATCCTCTTGCTGAAGCTGATCCCCAGGCCAGCACTTTATCCAGTGATGCTCTACACGGATGAGCTTGCAATGGATAGCTGAATATCACCAATATCACAATGGCTAATCGACCACCGGCAACAAAGTAGCTGGGAGGATCTATACAAAGACTCAGCCATCCATCGACATGCACTCACAACAAACGCTATACTATACACTCCATGATGATATTTCCCCTCACATCCTTGCCAAAGCTCAGATATCCGAGAATAGCAATGGCTTCATAGATAAAGGCAGAGCTGCCAATGGACACTGTAATCACATTTGTAATTGATTGTTTGCTGTTATCCTTGAGCTCATTGTAAACCGAAAAAATCTACCCAACTGTGTGATGAGTCGTGGTTGTGGTTGGGTGTCTAATCCCACATCTTACATTTTGGTGGCATGTAAATGCAAACACAAATACCGGTATATGTCCCAAGACATTGATGCTGAAAGTACCCAATTGAATGGCATCTGATGGTGGCGATGGGTATGTAGGCGAATAGTAGTGATAGATGACAATGACACAGAGATATACAACAGCTACTAATGCCACTAAACTCGTATATTTGAGTGAATCCAGTTTCCTCAGGAAACTCAGCGGTAATACTAATGTCAACATGAATATCGTGATCCAGAAACGTCGGTCTGTGAGGAAATAGGCAATACTGGCATGGTTTGAGAATGAACCTATTACTTGCGGCATGAGATCACCGATAATGATCAAATAAGACACGGCTACACCAAAGCACTTGATGGCGATGGCTAAATCAAACAGCACAGCTACTTTGGGCCATGTCAGTTTGGATATGGCGAAAAAGGATGCATTTCTCCCTTCTGTTCGTGCTGCACATCTCGTTAAAAAGTAAAGCCCCGTTCCTGACGCCAGTGCTGAAAAGGCAATCAACAAAATACCGGGTAAAATACCCACAGATGCCATCGCTGACGGCTGTATGTGTTTAACAGTGATTAATACATCTTGTAGTTAACGGATGATGGGGAAATACTTCTTATTACCATAGCAAGCATACCTGTTCCCAGGATAGTATTTGCTAGATTGATAACGCAACTAAACGGCGAAGCAGTTGCATGTTGCTGTTCATAGTCTTGTACATAGATCGTGGCGGGTTGAATGAAATGATGTGGTGTGATAGCTGTTGATGTCGATTGTGCTGTTGTTGTCGCTGTTGGTGGTGTTGCATTGATGTGGATGGGTATATCATCATCGCCCTCTAAAGGCCTGTATTCAGCAGCTACCATCGTACACCAAATATAATGAAATGCTAATAGTAAATGAGAGAACAAGAGCTACATGCACATCTTTTTTTTTGCATCCTGCTTTTGAGTTCCTTTTTCAATGTGACCATCACTGGTGTGTTAATGATGTGCATGTTTGTTGAATCAGTGAAATCTGACAGAATCATCCATAGCAAATGCTGAAAAGGCTCCGAATCTCTATATCACAGAAGGATATGCTCCTTTGAATTCTTTATCTTTTTTAGATTGTGCAGAAGGTCATGAATACCGAGATTTGTTTATTTTGTGAAAATCAATTGTCTGAAAAAGTAGTGTAACTAGGAGATGGCTCATCAAATAAAATAGGGTGCTTGGACTCATATGTCTATTTGATAACTAGCTGTTGGGTAGTAATTTTTGTTCCAGATCATGTCGTGCAAAAGAGCAGGCAAAGAGCACCAGTCCACATCAGTTTGAATTGGCCACACATAAAACTGCAGCAGCAACAACACTCATTCTGAAGACAGAGAGATCCTTCTTTCGCTCAAAATCTGCCTCCTCATTTATTACAGTAGACAACCCGCATCGACGTATTTCAGTGTGTCTACTATCGCCTCAAGATGTATCAGAATCATGGATCATCAAGGAGAATTGTGTCATTCAACGAGATAAAGATACGATCTGAGCGCCTTGTTACCCCCCCTTATCAGTGAACAAAAATAAAGAATTACTCATTTTTCCAAGGTTCTGTGATACCCATTTCATTGTAATACATCACTTCTTTTTATAATTGCCTAAACATTCATACCTCGAGGTAAATGTACATTTGTTGAAAAAAAAAGAGAGATCTGTCAAAGACCCTGTAAAAAAAACTGATCTAAGAAAAATCCTGATCCATGGATACGAATACAATGTATAAATCAGATTAAGAAAGTTGGAACCACCTTTTGAGGTATCAATTAGTCATGAATGACAGTTGCTCAATTAACATGTGATTTTTTGTTCGACTCCATAGACAAGCGTCTTTTAGGGATTATCACAAGATTTTCTTCCTGATTACCGAAGGATTATCGTATATTGATCATGGTCTGACAAGCTGTCCGCCTCTCCAGGCTTCTAATACGCCCCATGCAAATAGCTGGCCGCGGCTCTACTATTAAATAAGCAAGTTGTTCTAAGGATTCTTTTTCTTCTCATATTATCTAAAATTGAGAAGTGGCTTCTTGGATGAATGCAATATTCATATGTAATCATTTTAAACTTTTTCCCCATTTTTATCCAATTATAGCAAGCATGTAACACACAGGCATATGAACGTTTTAAAGGCATTATTAAATCAAATTTAGACCTTATTTATACAGTCGTTAATCAACAGTAAATGTCATATAGACATGCCATCACAAGCGCTTAACGGATGACAGTGCGACCTGGCCTTTGACTCGAGCAATGATTTACCCCTTGCAACATTTGTAAGAAAAAGGTAAACGTAGTTACAAAAAAGTGGGATGACGGGCAATGTGTTTCTCCATCAAGATCCCCTACCTGTCTCAATATCAGTTCCACGTTGTATATTAATAGTGTAACCGTTATTAAGAGATGATAAAGTAATATTAGAAATAGCCATTATTGCCTTATTGTCATCATCATTACGTTCAAGTTATAAAAAGATATAAATATGCCCCAATTCCTCTTCTCAATTGCCTTTTTCTTCTTTTTTCACACTACACCCAAAATCGTCCACAGAAAATGCCCTGTATAATCACTCTTACCTCTACTGTGAAAAGAAACTCTGCTTCTGCTGTTTCTGGCACCCCTGACCTTGCATCAACATTAGCATCAACTTACAGTCAGCAACAAAATGGCGGTAAGAATTGTTTGATTTGCGGTTCCTTTGTACATATGACAAGAGTAAGTGCTTTCAAACCCTCTGATTGCTAGACTATAAACTAATGTCTATCTATAGAATTGTCCCGTATCCCCCTAGTTTTCCACATCTTGCTTATGCCACTACTACGATTATTGCCACATGCACTATAGAGCACAAACAAGACAATTGCTATCAATTGATCTATAAAAAAAAATACCTCTTGTCCATCTTTGATTTAGAAAAGAAGCAACAAGCATATGTACCCTTTAAATATACAACACAATAGATACCTCAATAGAATTACACATAGAAATCATTATTACATTACTTATCATTGACAATAAACTTCATTATAAACATTAAAAAGTAGATCCGAGGGAATTAGGTTCTTCCCGTATGTGTTCCACCTATTACAGGAGTACATAATGTTTACCACGGTTAAAAAACGTAACATCTGTAGTCTGTTGTATTACATGATTCAACCATTCAACAATTATATACCGTAAAATCCCTTTGTTACCGCAAATGATAAAAGTGTGGCTACAGACAGGCAGCGAGACCGATTTGGGGCATTGATTGTGCGTATATATATATATTGATTACAGCAACTATTCAGATATCTTCACTAATCGCGGTCTTGATTCTATCCATTACGCGTCTTGCAGTAAAAGCTCCACGTACTTTACAAGCCAGAACAATGCTCTGTGAATGAGATTGCGATGGAAACGATCCAAATCTACATAAACATTGCCAATTTCATCATGAAAAATCAACAGAGTATTGCTAGAATCTTGGTGGCAGTGTACAAGAGCTACCGATGAGGTGAGATAATTTAAGTGTCTACGAGAGCCGCCACAGTTGACATGTGATTATACCTTTTTATTCGAGGAAACCATACGATAGAACGTAAGTTGTATCATCCCTTACTTTAAAAGCTTCATGAATAAAGCTCAATGTACATCATATCACGACGATTTTGCATCAACATACACAACTGATTTGTAATATATCCCGTTATACATATCTTCTTTTTGATCATAGCCCGCTGTTAAAACAGATCGTTAGTTCTGTCCCATGTTTATATCGATCTTATACTCAAAATTGCATCCTTTGCTGAGACGGACTCAAGCACTTCATGACTACGAAGCCAATTCATGGTCTTGTATACAGGCATTAGTCTGCAGTTACTAGTAAGTTAATCTAAGCAAAGGCTTATAGCGAGAGTGGCCAAGCTTTTACGAGCTTTGTTACACGTTAATAGGTAGGAACTTCTAATAAAAACCTCATTTGAAAACAAAAGCAAACGTTAATCCCTTACGCTTCTTCGCGTGAGGAAGCTATAAACTACTCAGTCAGGACATGAGAAGAAGCCTGGTTTGCGAAAGAAGCTAGCTGAAGAGTATCGCATCCGTACAGCCAAAATATGCAAGACGAACGATGGTGTAATTGAATCACAGTTTGGATGAGTTGTTGGTAAGAAACGGCGAATTCTTCAAAATAAGCCAAATTTGAGGGCTGAGCTACATACAAGAACCAGTTGATAACTAGCAATTGCAGGTAATTATCAGATTTTTATATATCTACCTCCTCCTTACTCAGATTCGCCTTATTTTGAAAATCTCTCTATTTCTTACTAACAACTACTCATCCATTCTAAATTTCAATAATAGTTACTCCTCCGTCATCCTTCTTTCCGCAAAAATTTGTCTGTACAAACATGCTATACTTTCAAAGTTCTGGCATCAATAATAATCTAAATTTGATTTTGGATGTCCCAACCCTTAAGACAACAAATACTTTTGTACATCATCCGAAATTTTTGATATGAGGTACAAGATAATAATAGCAACCCATTAAATTGAAACATGCTGGATATTAATATTAATAAACAACAACGCATGTTTGGCGGGGCATATGGTATTAGGTTCTCCTCTGGTACCTACGGTAGTGTATTACTCTACCTATATGACTTTCCTGCCCCCCACAAGATGATGATATCAAGTTTAAAGAACATCCCTCACCTGCCATTGTTTAATAAATACTAGATCAAATGACTATACCTTAATTTATTTTTGAACAAAAAAGGACTTAAATTATGTTTATTTGGCTACTACACAGTTTTATTACAAACACAAAATCATGGTAATAAATGGCAGGTCAATAGGAAATCAACCAGTTGTAACCCTTTGGTACTTCAACCTCTCAGCCAATCAAATCGCTCGAGAACTCCGCTGACCTAAAAAAAAATTGCGAGGGTTTCCCCCGGTTTTGATGTGAGGCAAAATTTTAAGCGCCGCTATAATAGCAATATAGCCGCTGCTATCATCAAACTTCCCCCAAGTGCTAGAGCATGCCTTACACCACCTAGCTTTAAATTCAGGCATTGAGACCCTCAATCATCACTAAAGTAAGTAGCGATAACCAAGTGGAGGCAGCCTATCTACCTCCTAGCCTCGGATAATGTCTTGTTGAGTTTCAGGGATAGGCACATCCACACAACGTAAAAAAAAGTATGCTTCAAAGAAACATGATAAAAGAAAGAAAAAGAAAAGAACATGCTACAGTACTATAAGAGTATTATAGTAGTAGTATGTAGGCAAAAAAGCAACACTCACGTAAAAAAAAAGTGAGTTAAAGAAAAGCATAAGAAATACAACATCAAAGGATGTTGAGAACAGCTCGCTGTTGTTGCAACAAAAATGCTTATATGAGCAACGTGCATGATAATAGTCTGATGCAAAGGAACAAAAACATACATAATTGCATGAGCAATAGTGGTAGTATAATTGTGTAATACGACATAATGACTAATGGTGTTTCATGTGAAGCTACAGAGGCAGCACAGACAACAACCCACGGCCATATAACAAAGCAGTATTGCAACGGCAATACAGATATATAGCAGTACATCATGCTTGTCGTTCATACATAAAAAGCAACGACATTGCAAGCATCCGTTGAACTGATCATATCACAGCCAACAAAAGAAAGAAAAAAAAAAGCGCAACAAAGCAAACATTACGAATGCATTATTACGATAAAGCAAGCAATAATACAAACGTTCAAAGAAGATTTATATTATCGCCGCCAGAAGAAAAAAGATACTTACCACTTACCAGAACCACAACAGATAGGCCTCAGAATATGGAATCACCAG